AATTTCTTTAAGAAAATTATAATTTCGCACTAACATCCCGCGACGGCTCTCTATGCCTTTCTATTATATTAATTGATGTATATATCAAATACCAATTGATAAAAATCAATCCGAGTCAAAAATCCGACGTTCATCCCGTCCGATTACAGAGAGTTCACGAGATATATCGAACAAATAACGGTAAATGCGTATTCCTATGATAGCAATCCCACATCATCCCGAATCCTTCGCAGGATCCTGCCGCTTGGCGCTCACCCGGAAATTCAGTCGAAGTTCAGTCGTGGCAGGCTCGTACGCGCACGGAGGCTTTTCTTCGCGCGTGGAGAGAACGGAATTTATTTCACCCGTAAAATCCCACTCTCGCGGAAAGCCCCGGGTAAATGTACGGCGGCGGGATGCAAAGACGCGGTCGTGCATGGGAGAGCTGATCAGGGTATGTACCGGGTGAACGATTTCAATGGTACGCCTGGAGGAGCGTTCGCGCGAGATACCCCCAATGTGTCGTTATAGCGCTACGTGTTACTGCGATCGTGCGGCAGGTGTTACGCGCCCGCTTCGCAGTGTGTGTGTGTGTGTGTGTGTGTGTGTGTGTGTGTGTGTGTGTGTGTGTGTGTGCGCGCGCGCGCGCGCGCGCGCGCGTCCGTGCAGAGATGCGTGTGTGCTTTCGCGTAATTTCACCATATCCTATGCGGAAAAAAAACGGGAATTAAACATGACGAGTACGCCGGCAGCTAACTCGAGTACTTCTCTCGCCGAAACTGCGAAAACCCCCGCCAGTATTCCCAACGCGCGCGTTTCCGCCAGTTTCACGCTATAACCCATTGCGTAAGTCTAAATGCATAATTATTCAAACTACGCTGGCCGTGAGCTATAAATCTCACGCGGTCGGGCGAATATTGAAATAACGTAAGAATTGCGGGCTATTATTATTATATGTATACGCTATAAATCTAACGGAGTCGGACGAATACAAAAGTGAGGTAATAACGATCGATTATTGCAGCCTCGGGATGTCTTTTATGCAGCGCTCGCGTTAAAATATGCAATAACGATATTCCGTTCTATAGTTTCCGAACGTATTATAATATTTATTTATGCATTATCGTTATTTTATATTTTCTAAATTCTCGTCGCGCGTATGCATCGTACTCGTAAATAACTATGTTTTTAATAATAACGACAGTGTGATTTAAGCAAAATTATAAATCTACCGTAACACGAAATAAGCGAACCGCGTGTAACAAATGTAAGTTACACACGAATAGATGCTGAATACCCTTTTGTTTTATTCGATACTACGCGTTATTGCAATCGGACGGCAGATGCGACAAAATGTATTTTTTGTTCGCACGTGTCTCTAGTATTCGAATACGCATTGTAACTAAAAACGTAGCATTTAAAAAAACGTTACAAAATCCGCGATCAAAAAAATCAGAATCTTTATTGTGGCGAGAAATACGACCTGCCGCGAAGTTTCCTTTTATTAAATCGTTTCGAAAAATATTGAATTGTCGAAAAAAAATATCAGTCTATGAAATAGAATAGTATGAAAATATTAAATTGTTTGCGATGGTGCGATGCCACGAATAAACCCTATCCAAAAGATCGAATCGAGTCTTCGAAAAACGAATCACACTGCGGCGTCACCCAATTTTTAAAAGTGAAATATTTATCGCATTCTCTTTTGACACAGACAAAAAGAGATTTCAAAAAGGTCATGCTTCGCTACATTCGTACTATATGCATGTAGCACAGCTTGCAATAGTGCATCTATGAAATTATACATATGCAAATTCTACATAAATGATAAATTATAATGAAGTCAAATTTATCATTTATTTATTCATTTTAAATATGAGATATTACGTTTCAAATCTTATAAATTATAAATCGATTTATTCGTGCCTTGTACCATTTGCATAATGACCACAAATCAATTCGAAAGCTTATTAGAAAATTGCTACTATAAAGATTATAAAAATATAAAGTAGAAAACAATAATATTCCTTTAAATCTCATCAAATATTGATGTTCAATTGTCGCTTGGACATTTAATGATATCTGTGGAAATTTTAATATCTTTAAATGGGTAAATGCGAAGGAAAAATTCGAGGATCCGAAAAGTAATTTTTGCGGATTTGAATGGATTTAACAGATTTTAGCGGCGCGAAATGGAAAATGATATTTTTTGTAATAATGCAAGAACGCTCGATCGGCGAAAAATTTTAACTGGACGTCGACTCAGCCCGATAAAGCACCGTCGTTACCGATAATTATCGGAAAACACTTAGGGCTGGTGTCATGTGTGCTAACCATACTGCCTGATTGGCTTGGAACTTCATTAATCACCGTCACTGCTTGATGTATTATTCGCTTTTAACGTACAAGACAGATCCGGTATCACGTCTGAGGAACTTTACTTGGACATTGCATTGTTCACAACTGGCGCATGCGATCATTTATACTACTGACTAATAATTTGCGCTGGCAAGTCATGACAAGATAGGATCGGGACGCAGCGAAATATAAGAACACATCGTATAGATATAAGAGAAATTATTCTATTTTATATTTCATATCTATTTGAATTATATAGTAATCATATCTATTTGAATTATATAGAAGAATATATTTTCTTATTTAGTCAATGCGTTTTACTCTTGTAGTTTATTGTGCCTCGATTCTGAGATTCTATTGTGTGTAACTAATTATAAATTCACCTCGAGTCATCTTGATTCTCGTCTCTTGTCACAGCACCGCGAAAGTTTTCCGTTAATATGGTTTCATGAATTTCAATGATATTATATGTGAAACACTTGGCAAATATTTGTCGCCCCTTCGCGAAGCTAATCAACAACAGTCAACACATTTCCGTGTGTCGCTTGAACATTGTGGTTCAATATATATTTGTAATTTGCATATAAAATAACTAATCAGCAAACGATCGATAAACAGACCACTGTTTCGCAATCTTCGTCGCAATTGCAAACGCTATAAATAAAGTGTCTGTACTATTCACCCGCTTATCCGCGTGGAATCTCGAAACCGACAATCGACGATGACGACATCCAATAATCGTCCTATTACGTGTCATTGACAAAATGGTGTAATCCAATTTTATCGGCATTGCTTATGATACATTTTCAGATCAGTCGAGATGCGGACGAAGACAAAAGCGAGGAGAGTAACCCACCGCCATTCATCACGCCCCCGCCTCCCAATCCAGATTGTGAGTAAGGCCATCAAGTAGCCGCAGTAACGATTTTTTAACCGCTTATAAAATATAACGTTATATCGTGAATTACGTCCCGGCAATTTAGAAAACGTCTACACCAAATGACGTCACATTCATAATCACTAAGGATATTGAACAAAATAATCGATTTATGAAATTATGTCTTATCTCGAATTAATGGATAAATAATCCAATTAATAAAAATTAATTAAGATTATTTTGCACAAGAAACGTTTGACACTTATTCAATATTTCTCCTTTTCCCCTTGTATATTTGATAATCATTTATTTATTATTACAAAGTTGTTATTTATTTTAACGAAAAATATAAAGCAAATATTTGTACTCTCTCTGTTCTTCCTGTAATCAAATATATATTTTATTATTTTTTCTTATGCTCGTAGTATTTTAATTTATTGCAAGAATATTTAAACACACTGTTCTAAAATATCAATGCATCGATATTTTGAGATAGTTCAACAGTTCCTCAATTAATCAATGCGCCGAAACATCAATATCTTTACTCGCGCTTTTTTTTAATCCGATATCCTTAGTAAGGATGGGACGGCGCGTTAAAAATCGTTTATTAATTTTGCCATGGCCGATGTCGACGCGCGCCGTCGACTTCAGAGGTATCGCATCGAAGAAACGATGATAAAATATGAAGCAAACTTTTTTAATCTACTTTTCGCGCGCATAAATCACCCCGCATGTCAAAACAGAGAGCGACGAAGCTGCGTGGACTTACAGCGACGCGTTCGTTTTTCAGATAAAGGTCCGAAAGGCGAAAAGGGCGACAAAGGGGATAAAGGCGAAAGCGTCAGAGGTCCCCCGGGACCGCCGGGCCCGCCTGGTCGCGACGAGGTAAGCTCAGTCAACAAACTTATTTATAGACTAATTCCAAAATAACCACAATAAAAAAAAGTGGCTTTTCAATTCCCACTCAATAAGAAACATTAGAAGATCAATTATAATAGTAATGTATAATCGATTATAATATAGTATAATAGTAATTTGGGGAAATCAAGTATATTCAGCATGAATAATTGCATTTAAAAAATACGCAAGTAATGGCGGATTCAAAAATCAATTTGGCAGCTTGCAAGAAAATTGATAATTTCATAATTGCAGCTTTGATAGCTAATACAACAAATAATTAATACAACAGTAATTAATAAAAATCAGATACAAAATAATTATATACAAAATTCATTCATCAATATGATTTGAAGAAATAATCGTGTAATTTATATGTATAACAATTTTGTTTATCTATTTCTGTTTACGTGCTTAACTTTCTTTTCTTGCAAAACGCCAAGTTTAATTCATTGCACAATGCAACAAACAGCAAAATATCTTTCTTTGCTATTAATTCACAAAAGTGAATTAAAAGTTATTACTTCAATCATTATAACATATAATGATATCAAAATATCATAAATAATTAAATAATCATGTGATGCAATATTAAAAACTCACCGGCCGATGTCTTGCAGTTACAATCCGTTGCCCCTGCTTTTGCTCCAAGCGCACACTTATATGGCATTCATTGTCGCTTGTGAGATTAACCCAATGTGATGAAAAATATAAAACACGGAAGCAGCTTCATGACGACGCTCGAAGATTCGGGTAGCGATGTTCAGTCAGTCAATTCGGCATTCCTGAAATTCCAAAGTAATTTTGATTATTATAAGCTAAATAATTCTGTCTATTAAAAAATTTAGCATTGCAACAATGTTCAGTGGAGCAATAATAGCGAGCCAAAACATATCGAATGCAAATATTATTGAAAGAACTGATCTTTCATCACTTGCCTTTATCATTTCGTCGACCAGCAATATGTTCGACACTCCCGAAGGCAATTACACGCGCGATACACTCGACAAATAAATACGAAAAACAATGATCGTCCATAACCTTGCTCGACATTCGCGTCTCACTTAAACACGGTTAAAGAATACAAAAAACAGAAGCAACTTCACGATACATTAAAAGATTCGGCAATGTTCGATCGACGCACAATTGATTAGCTTTACGAGTATTATAAGGTTATATTCAATCGCGATTATATGCGCGGATTTACTCTTCGTGGCAATCGCTCTTCGATTTAATGCTCTCCGGAAGCTTTCGACACGTATTTACCGAAGACATATAATTACAGTGGCAACTTTGAATTTATGTTAGAAGGTTCAACAAAGTTTCAACACGAAGCGTTTGACTCCACAAATATCGAAAGACTGAGAAATGGCAATCGTACGTGCTAATTAAGTATCCGCGGCGATCGTGCGTTGCTTAATTCGACACATCCGATATCATCTGTGCATAGATTTACGTCGAAATGAGGAAAACACGCGAAACAACCTTACTTTATGCGCAACAATCCCGCCATTCTCTGCGACAGTGAAGCAGCCATTGTGACGTCACGATAATCACGAGATCACGTGATCACCATTAAACCTCAATTTTGGCGCAAAATTTAAATACACCAACAAATGTACATTGGCAGAAAAGAATTTTTTTATCGCACAAATGCCTTTATTTAAATTAATTATTTTATTGCATTTATATATAATGTCAATAACCTACATTTATATATCATTCCCCTTATGCCAAAACCATGAATGTGCAAATTTTAACTTAGGCTTGTTTTTCTTTGTGAAATTTATTTTGTGCTACTTGATTTTATATTTACAAAATTTCAGAGAGTCTAGGGTATTTTAAATACTTTAAGTATCTAAAGTATCCTAGACTCTGAAGCTTTGTAAATATAAAATCGAGTAACACAAAATAAATTTTACAAAGAAAAACAAGATTAGGTTAGGTTAAAATTTGCACATTTATGGCAAAAGGGAAACGATATAATGTAGATTAACTTACATATAAAGACCATATTTTACATGATCTATATAAAACATACAAAACACAAAATTACATGAAGTGTAGAATACGCGAGGAAAAATCATTCAAAGATTTGTGCATAAATACGTTTGAGGTAGTGCAAAAAAATTGTCAATAAAATAATAATAGAGCGACAATCGAGATATACACTTGTATCATTAAAAAATAAATGGTTTTAGAATATTTCAAAAATACATATGTATTTAAGTGTACTTTCGCGTATATGAAAGCACAAAAATTTATTTTCTTATGGATGTAGACATTTCTCGTTACATTGAACGTAGGGATCGCATCCGTTGATCCGACCACAGATACGATATTGAAGGCGCCTGAATGCGCCTGAATCCAGGATCACTCATTTATCTTGTTATTCGCGTGAGTCAATTTAGCATCGACACCGGAGAACCGGTGCCTGTCGCATGTAACACTGATTACACCAAAGCGGCTTTCACGGTGCTTACTATCTTCCGCTGTTATTGGTACACAGTATACATACGTATTTACTTAATTTCACATACCGTTGAAATTTAATAATATCGTCGCAAAGAAGATTAATAATAATTTGCATAAAATTAAACTAATAAGAAAACAAAAAATTGCGACAGTTTATGGAATGCTTAATTTTAACTTGATTTCTCCTGTAAGTCAGATTGTTAGATATAAAATACTATTGTATAATATTTCAATATTATTTTGTTATAGCATTAATTATTACCACAATAAATAATTCATCAATACTTATAAAGACTATTAGGAATAATTCGCGAAAGCACTGTTATATAAATTAAATAAATTCATCTTTGAAGGATTGGCTGATGAAGATACCACAGGGACCACCTGGTCAGAAGGGAGACCCTGGCACTTGTATCTGCAACGCCACGGCCTTAATGTCTTCCTTTACGATGCCAAAGATGATACAAGGGCCAAAGGGCGAGCCAGGAACACCGGGACAGGAAGGCAAGCAGGGCTTGATGGGCCTCACGGTATCGATTTTTACTCTCATTGCTATTCTGAGATATCATTAATCAAAGTGCTAAAAGTGGTGTAGCCTTAATCAATTTATACATAAATAAATCTGAATAAATATATTATATCAAAAATTTATCCCAATAATGCAGCAATTGTTAATATATAACATTGCAAAAGACATATTAATGCATATCGTTTCAAATTTATTCGATTTCTTTTTCTTCTCTCACTAAAAATTAATTTTGTTTGTTTAAAACTATATTACTTTCGGCACTTCATTTCTCGCAATTGAAAAGTATGCTTAATCGCAAGGTCAATATCACAATTTCAGGGTGCGGCAGGACCGCCAGGGGAAAGAGGACTTCAGGGTCCGTTCGGAGCGAAAGGTGACAAGGGTGATATTGGAATAGCGGGACCGGAAGGTCCTCAAGGTCAAAAGGGCGAACCGGGTCGCGATGGAATTCCTGGTGAAAAGGGTGCGCAAGGTCCACCGGGACCGCCCGGAAAAGGAGAATTCTCTGGCTATGACGTAAGTAGATTACCACGCTTGAATATGATCTGTCATGCGGTGAGACCGAAAGCCGAGTTAAAATATTTTCTTCGACGCCCTCTTTGCAGTTTGCATTCGCCATTTCTGCTTACCCCGTGAGATTTCCTTTATGCCCGCTATTTCCGGTGACAAGTTGCAATCTACATAAAACTTGCGTTGAGATTTGTATTTGCTTTCTACTATTGTTATATATATATATATATATATATATAACTCACGCCCATTAGCCGCACTAGCTATTATAGCGAAAATGAGGACGCGACGATAATAGTCGTCCCCATAAAAAAATATCTTTTACGCTATATAAGCAATTTTGCGTTTGCTTCAACAATGTGTCTATGAATAACATTTATTATGTGTAAGACTTTTGTGAAACAGGCTTTTGTCTGTTTAATGATATGACTATACATTTGGAATAACAGCAGGTGACTGTAGAATTAAAAACTTAATAAATTCCATTAATATCAGAGGATAAGCTGGGAGAGAATGCAGAATGTTTGTCATACAAATGATGATGTCTACTGGATATGAAAACAAAGATAGGAAGGACAGAGAGGGAGAAAAGGTAATATTAACGCGAGAGATATGACATTGAGGAATTTGCTAGAGGAGAATTTATTGTGTATGCGATTACTGCGAAGTAGCGGAAATTCAAGCGCGTCCAACCGTACGAAGTCGTCGCTATAATAAGTAGATAAGTATCTTCATTCAAGAAATTTTCATTATCCGCGTATGAATCTAGCTCAGCCGTATTATTCGCTATTTTCCCGAAACGGACACGCGGCAGCGAGAAACTCGCGGACGGAAATGGAAGCCGTATCTTTTCTCGTGAAGTCGTCGAGCTATTATCAAAAGTATGCTATTTAAACATCGTATTTGATATCCACCGAGTATTAACTCAGCAAATTATCTATGTTAACAATTTTTTTATTCAGGTTTGCGGATTATCGTTGTGTACAAAAACTCTTCAGATGAAATGTCTTTTTTAATATTTTCTAACATTGTGAAAATTCCGAAGAGACAGTGTGCTTCCAATTTCTCAAGCAATCTTTTAAGACAAACTTGTCTTAAGAATAAAAACTGTTTATATTACAATGGTTTCCATCATTTGAACTATTAACTTGCGCTTTAAAACGCAATTCAAGTCAAGAGAAGCAGCGCGACAATATTTATTAGGTACTTATTGTTCGGCATAAAGGACCGGGGTTATATCGATATCAAATAAACGTTAGAAATTTATGGTACTAATCATGCATAGAATTTCGACGTTCCCATAAACTATGAGTATCCAATTTATATCTAGTTTTCGAGACGGCAATATTATTGCCCTATTATCCGTACTATCGCGTTCCGAAGTGCATGAAAATGCACGCGATAGTGCATTCCAAGGCCCCATTGCGCACATCGCAGTGCACTATTCCCCGTGCAGCCGCTTTTACGTATATCGAAGCGACGACGACAACTACAGTGATCCTGCCTCACCACCGTGGAGAACGACGCGACAAGAAATTCGTTGAATGGAAATGGAACGCGTATCGCCCCGCGGGGAATAAGAAACGCTGCACGTAATAACGGCCGAGTTGTAAGTCCGACCCTCAGCCTCCTCCCTTTTCTCGTCCATGTATTCGCGTTCGCCGTTGCGCCTTCTTTCTCCCACTCTCTCTCTCTCTCTCTCTTTCTCTCCCTCTCTTGCCGCCCACAGTTTGCCCCAAACCATTCTTAACAACACGGCGAGTCTCACTCAGCTTTTTGCCAGCCACGAAAAATGGTTGCGAATCGCGCTGACAGGCTTGCGATATTAAAACGGTGCATGGTGTATAGAGCAATACATCTACATATGTGCGATATTGATGGTGGTGAAAGTTTTCAGCGAAAACTTCGCGTGGACGATATACGGCGCCATAGATGCTACACGCGTATAACTCGAAAAATTCCCGACTTCTCCCGGCTTTCCCGATAAATAAACTATTTTCTTTCTGACCTTGCGATGGAGTGTAGTTGCGAAATTTCTGTCTCTCTCCGTAACTGTAACTACAACGTTTCAATGAGCACGGATGAAAAATCATCTGATAACGGAAAAGTAAAGAGACTTGTGTGCACATAGAAAGAAAATGACTGCTATTCTTTGTTATATTTGTCTTTAAACATAACATATAATAATTGCTAGCATAATATTGAAACTGGCTATTAAACGATTTTCTCGTTATATTTCTATTCATTGCTACAACAGTATATATATTCATGAGTTCTTTTCCTCAAATTCCTTACTTTTTCGATGTTCCGCGCCACTTTCAACGTTTCCCATCATCTTTACTGATGTTTTCGATTTTCTAGACTTGTGTACAACTCTTTCGGACAGATATTCATTCTGGTAACGCTCAGATAGCGCAGCGTGTGGAACAACTTAAATCCACTTAAGATTGATATTCCGCGCTGTCAAAGTCAGCGGGAGGCGGTCCAATTCCTGAGACCGCTTCTGGCCACGGGAGGGAAAAGAAATCTCCGCGCTGTCGCGGGAACGTAACGATCCTGTCGCGCCTCAAACCGTCAATTTACTCCCGGAGATGCGGTCGTTTTTCACCTTGTTCTCTTGTTACGCGGCTTTTGCGGAAGGAAAAGCGTAACGACAGAAATGCAGCGGCAAGCGGCGTAACAGAGCGACGGAGGCATCATCGTCGCGCTATCGGACCGCATCGCTCCGTTTTATCAACGACACGAAACCTCTGACACAGATGCGCCCGCATACCACTGGAAGATGGGTGGCGACGCAATATTTATTCCACCCTCATAGCCATACCTCGCTATGAGAGAAATTGCAAAAAAAGAATGCAGTGCTTCACGTTACACGTTCTCTGTTTTCATGCTGGTGGCACACTTCCAAAGTTTACATCGCCGGAAAAAAAGGCCGGTCTGACCCGACCCGGTAATTGTTGAGACGTCGCAACGGTGGAAAAATTTCGTTACTCTCGGAGCTGAAAGCGTTGAAAACGCGGCAGTTTCCTGCCGCTGTAATCACACTCGCGATATTATTTCATTCAATTATCACACATTCGAATTTTATATATGACAAATCCAGTAAATGTTAGAGCGTTAATACGCTATTATAATTCTCGATTAAATAATTGTATTGCGTTTCTTTGTGACCATTCATTTAATAATATATTCAATATCATCTGTGTCATTTTCAAATTTTATTATTCCTCATTGATTAAAAATGCGAATTTAATATCGCTATGTCCATCGATGCTGTCAACAAACGATTTTACTAAACTAATGTCGATTTAAATAGATTCGAAATAATTAATATTTCTATCTATTTTTATTGTCCGTTGAGTTCTTAAATTATATTTAAGAAAACCTTAAGTGTTTTTGTTTGTACAAATTCCCTCCGTAGAATTTATCACATTGCAACAGAATAAAGGAGAGAAAACGCGATAACTGAGAATTATATTATGCCATTCATTGTACACACGATATATTCTCGTATTGCGACGACGCAACAATATCGATGATTCGTGCAACCGTAAAGGAGACATACGTCTTTACGGAACAGTAAGCTCACAGCTTTGCTTAGAAACGAGCAAAACCACAAGCTGCAAATGCGACACAACAACCTATACCACCGGATATACACGTCGTTGCATACAGAGCGATTTGAGACAATAGAACTGTGTTGTTGCTAACTCTAATGCCCGCTGGCATTCCATTGATAAAGACGTCCCCCAAGAAGTCTGCGCGGATAATGTCTAAGTCGTTATAATGTTCCGGATTGTTGCTCCCGACGTGCATGTTTTATGTTTATTAATCTTCTTTTGAGACACTTATTCGCAACCAAATGAATAGATGTACGTTTCATTTAACAAAAATAAAATATTATAAAATATATATAAATTTTAAAAATATTATGAAATGTATATAAATTGTTTAATGTATCAAATATGATTTGTTCGATTTATTTATTTTTTCTATTGGTTTTTAAGATTTTTCATCCAATTTAAAATTAATTTTTCTTCACCAAGTAACAAAAAATACTTATGGTTGTCGAATAATTATATTAAAAATAATAACAATAATGTTTTATTAGCTGCAAAAACATCTTTTAAATCCGTCTTATATTTGTCGATAGGTAATTATCGTTTCAATCACATTGTTCCAAATACTGAATGCGTTTAACATCTGTTTCTAATTGCATCGCGATATTAAGCAATCAGGAGGATCTGCCAGTAGATTTTTCGTCCGCAAATAGCTTCGTCGTTATTGCACGATTGTTCGCGAATGTATCCGATCCAAATGGACCGATTTAGAGTACAAATGGCTGAACAAGGTCTAGATACTTCACGGCAAAATCAACAACCGACCTTGTGTCGTCGGGACAATTCATGCAAAGACAGACACTCGCGCGCATACACGCACACTGAAACGGTTATCTTACGTGACCTCGCCGTACACCGGTCCCTTCCTCGGATGTGCGAGAGCCCAATTTCCCTGGGGAATACAGAAACCAATTTCTAGGCTGCCTATTGCATGCCGGCTAGGTGTGTACGCCAGGTAGGAAGGAAGGAAGGAAGGCGGGCACGGAGATGCGCGGGTGTTGCATCCTAGAACGTCGTTGAAGACGGGCAACGCTCGATTGAGATGTTAGTGCGTTTTGACGTGTGCATGTATGCGTGCCGATCGGTTTGGCAGACGAGTTTCGCAGCGAGAGCGATCGTACGGGCCGAAATTTGAATGAATAGAATGGAGAGCACAAGAGGAAATTCGGAAACTGTATTAAGGCCGCGTCGCGAAGTATTACCGTCGGGGGGAGAACAGCTTTAAAACAGAAGCGGATTTATCGGTACGCGCGGTACGCGCGGAAATAGAATTCATTCAGAGCAAAGTGCCATCGAATTTCAGCCGAAAGATACATGTAAAATAAATCCCCCTAATTTTACAATCTGAGAAAATCAATTTTACCGCAAACAAGACCTGTTAGATATTTATTGTTGGTTTCGGAAATAGCGAATGTGTTATGTACACAGAATATCAATATTAATGAATCACCAACCAGACTGTTAATTGAGTTAATTAATACTATTAATATTTGCCGAATACATAACGTGAATTGTGTCTGACAACAATTGTTATAAAACGGGATAAATACAATGCAAGTTATCCCCGTAAAATTTACGAAGAGGAAGCGTGATCCTACGAATATCGATGCAGTTGGACATAGAAAGCGGAAAAGAAACTATACATATATATATATTGCTATTTTATCAATAGCCGAAGAAGTCTAAAAGTTTCAAAACCGTTCGTGAGAAGCTCTGAATAGATATGACGAGCGATGGAATGAACGGTGGCGTTGATATATAGGTTTGCTGTAATCGCGGGCGACATGATTTATAGCGGAATACCGTACTAATGCGAAAAAGAGAATAATCGCCTCAAAAAGCAGATTTACAGACCAAAAAAAATATTAAAAAAGCGAAACACACATACGAACACTTATACGAACGTATTCTATTTGATTCTGAGAGCCGTGCATTGAGCATCACGAGTTGGTGCTTGATAATTAATCTTGTTTTGTTCAGAACTTTTAGATGCAAAATATGTTGAAATAAAAAAGATTCATAAATAATACAATATAATGTATAAATTAATTGCATAATTTAGCATACATATATGCAAAATATTTATATATATTTAAAGTATTCTTATATGAATAATTATTTTCTTATATAATACGCAATTATCATACATTCCCTAGAGAATCGTTATACAAAAAAAAAAAGAGAAAATCTCCTTTCAGTTTCCGCAGTTTTCCGCACATCTGAAAACTTGGTTTGTCTTTGAAAAGATTGAAATCGCGTAGCGAGTGAAGGAAACTCGAGCATTTAAGAATGAAATTTGCACTCATGCTTCTATATCGCGCGATTCGATTTACGTTAAAGCTATTGCAAATCACGCGCCATCAACAATTGTTCCCTCAACAATTGTTCGGCCGCTAATCAATGGCGATGCAAACGTGCAGACGGCAATGTCGAACCAGCCGCAAGGCTTTCAGTCTCTCGCAACGTTATTCCAACGATCTAACGGGGAAATTTCGATTATTATGCGCATGCAGCCCAGTTGGAAACCTCGAAATATTTACAGGGTGAGTACGGACTGGAGCATTCTGATTGCGCCGTAAATACCTCCAAATATTCTGAATTCTCTTTTTAAGTGATAAGATGCCAATAAGCAATTTATGCAATTTCATTGTTCAATTATATTATTTCTTAAATCTCTCGTCTATCGCATTTAGACGGAAGGTATCACGATGAGGCCAGGACTCCCGGGACAAAAGGGTGAGCCAGGGACGTCAGGAAACCCTGGTCCTAAAGGCGAGGCCGGAATAGCCGGCTCCAAGGGTATCAAAGGCGAACCCGGGCACAAAGGTGGCAAAGGTGACCACGGAAAGGACGGTCCGCGAGGAATTCAGGGTTTCAAGGGTGAACCCGGAGCGCCCGGTGCGCCCGGACTGCCTGGTGCACCCGGTGAGAACGGACGGCCAGCTGAAAAGGGCGACAAGGGCGACATAGGGCCTGAAGGCAAACCGGGACCTCCGGGACCACCCGGTTCACCCGTTGCGAGCGGCCCCGGTGGCATAAATGTGGGAGATTTGGGTGAGTCATTTTAAATATTTTGCATGATAATACGTTTAACCTGAATATCACATTGTTTATTTAATTATTTATTTATATTTTAGATATTTTATGAAATTTTCATTGTAATTATCGCGCTAACGCGAGTTTGACATTAATGAAACTCTAAATTAAATTAAATAAATGACGACACGGTGATATTAAATTAAATAAATCGCGTTATAATTCATGTTAATGAAAAGGGACGATGATTCTACTTTTCATTACATTTTTCCTAATGCTTTGTGTAACATCGGACGTGATACTATCACAGTGATCGAGGATTACGGACCGTTATTAACGTTGTTTTCTTACGCTGAAGAAGTTCAATATCTACTGTATCAAAACAAAGGATGGCGGGATATAAGATTCGAAATATTATTTAATTAAGGATTCGGCACAAGAGGCGACAAAGGCGATACTGGTGCGCGTGGATACAAGGGCGATAAGGGCACGAAGGGCGAGAAGGGCGATAAGGGCGACTCCGGGCCAGCTGGTATTCCCGGAATAAACGGTATTCAAGGACCTCAAGGAGATAAAGGCGAGCCCGGTAAAGACGGCGTATCGGGATTACCCGGCACATCCGGCACCAAGGGCGAGAGGGGGGAAAGAGGTCCTCCTGGAGCCACCACCGTAGCCAATTCCGGAGACTATATCACCATCAAAGGCGAGAAAGGCGCCGAAGGAAAACGCGGTAGGAGAGGACGGCCTGGACCGCCCGGTCCTGTGGGTCCGCCCGGAAAACCGGGAACCATGGGAGAAACCGGTCTACCGGGATGGATGGTACGCATTTCAATTTCTTATCCCGTTTTAATAACGCTAATTGATGGAAACGCTAATAACGATAATTATACAATAATACTATTGATCGTAATAAATAGTATTTATATAATATAATTATTGTATTGTAATTATATGCATTGGCATTTGCTATCAACAGCGACAAATATCAAGCAAATAACTCCTTCATTTCATACGATACATGTTACATTGAAATATTTCATTTCTAAACAATGCTACTTTTTTCATTTGTTTCGCAACGCCAACTGAAGAACATGAAGGTGAGCTCTACATTCAATTTGCACCAAACAATATGTATTTAACACACATATTATGCAGCATTTTTTATCATTTCTGGAGCAAATAATAAAAAATGGTGTCTTGTATTTTCTTATGTGAGATGAGAAGTGAATTTAGCCGTTTAGCATTTACGTAAACGTTTATTAAACGTTTAAACGCAGATCAAAATAGATTGCTGCCCGTCGACTGTGTCGCAACAACCAAATCCCCGCGCTAATTAAAACGCAAACGAGCGATTCATCTGTCACTGTCTTCCGCAGGGTCGTCCTGGGAATCCGGGTATTCCGGGAAGTATCGGACCAATGGGACCCAAGGGAGAAAAGGGGGAGCCCGGCGCACCGAGTCCTTACGGTGTTTCCGTTGGTGTAAGTAACTTACAGTTTCTACTGTCGTGATATCGGCCGCGTAACTTCCCGCGCTAACTTTACATATAAATCTAAGAGCCTGATAAAAGGCAAAAATCAAGAAGGCGGAAGTCTGTGGAGCAAGCCTGTTCCGGAAAATAAAATCAAGCGCGAAGAGTAACGTGTCAGTCGATCAGCGGCGAACGAGAAAGCTTGCTTTCCGTTGCAAAGAGAAACGGAAAGAGAGACGAAAGTAAAAAATAACAGGTTTCGCTTTGCGCTATTTTCTGGTCTGACAGATTAAAGTGGCGGGACATATATATCCCTGCGAATGGGACGATACGGAAGTCTTTGAACAACGGGCAGCGTAGTGCGCGAGTGATGGAAATTAATGCAAGAGTGTACCTGGCGTGCAAACTCTTTTTTTCGCGTCTTCGTCGCTGGATTTATTCGTTGCGCCAAACAGAAATTTTCTCCGCCGCGGCGCGCGGAGTTTCGCGAGCTGTCACGGTCTGACAACTGACAAATAACACATGCTGATACGCGCGATAGCGCCTCGCTTTACCACAGACTTGTATTTGTTTTTGTATGTATCCAGGCATACACTACATAAATAACAATCCTTTTAAATGTTACGACTCTCCAGTATGCGTTGCAGAATATAGATCAACATAATTACGTTAAATAAAAAAAATTCACAATTTACTATTTATACAAAGAGTTCCAAAGCCGAACAATACTTTAAATGCAAGTTTTTGAAAAAGTTCGAAATTAATTCCGCCTTAATTAAAATTTTTCAGAGATAAAACTTTTTATTGATTAAGAGTTGAGAATGTGTAAATAACAAACTTGGTTTTCCGATTAGTTTTGATTTTTGGGTCAATTTTATTTAAACAGTTTTGGTTTGAGATAAATTTTGCATTAAAATTTAAAAAAGCTCGACAGAAATTGTTTAAAAGCTCCTAAAATTTTTTTTGCTGTATTTGAGATATTTTACTGGTGCAGAATTTCTAACAACGCTGTCGACCAAGAGATTGCAAAGATCTGGCGAATGCAATAAAAAGAAATTTCTCTGATGGAAATTCCATAAAAATATAAAATACGTAGGTAACAATAAAAATTGTTCGAGATATTCATCATTTTTCTAAAAATATAATACAACATTGATAACGACAAAGATAAATTATTCCTCGAAAGAGAGAGAGAGAGAAAAAGAGTGATCACAGTCGAGCGAAAATTCCGATATCGTCTTCCCACGATCGAAAAGCTACCTCTCATGCTTAGCATGTAAACCGTCTCGGCTGAACATTCGTGAAAAAGAACACAACGAAGGAACGTCGACAGAAAGCCGACGTGATGCGCCTAAGCGATCGTTGCACATCTCATTCTTCAAGTACTTCCAATAAATCAACTACTCCTGTTCCTGGCAATATTTTATTACTTACTACAAACCTATCCATCTGTTTTCCTGTTTATTCACCGAAGCGATGCAACGAAAAAGAAAATTCACAAAATAGCAGCCTTTGATTATCAATACCCTTTTACAAAAATATCATTTGTAAAAATATCATGAATCTATTCACTTGTTAGATTAAAGGAGACAAAGGAGACGACGGTTTCCCCGGAATTCCCGGTCAAGCGGGAAGAGACGGCCAGAGAGGACCTCCAGGACCTCCTGGATCCCCTGGACCACCGTCTCAAGGAAAGTATATCCCGGTTCCAGGACCTCCAGGTCCCCCTGGACCGCCCGGTCCACCTGGATTATCTTTAATCGGACAAAAAGGAGAACCTGGGATTGGGAGGGGCCACGTTTTCGGAGAAAGAGATTACCACGGTCCCCGACAAGGTAAAGTTTTAAAGTCTTTAAAGAAGTTCAATAAAAGTTGTTATAATTTGATGACATTTGGATGATAACTTTAATATTATTTTTTTTTTTTTTTAAATAATTGCGACTTTAATTGCGATATTGCAAAGTAATATTAATCAAAGCATCCATTTTGCTAATAATATACTTATGTATCTTTTATTAAGCTATTTTAAATATCGTTATTAAAGAATGCTTCATCGAGCTTTAAGCTTATCAAATATTTATAATATAATTAAATTTCCCACTCGCATACTTGAAGGACCTAGAAGTAGTCTGGATGAATTGAAAGCTCTACGTGAACTCAAGCAATTGAAAGAGTTGAAACAATTAGGTAATGTCCGTATAACATTAAAATAATTATATACCAAAGCCGTCGTTGTATTTCGAATTATTATTCCGATAAATTACGTGTAACACTATTTTTTAATCGACTTCAACGATATTTTTTTCAAGGCGTTGTCACTGCCGCTACAAGGGGACCTTTAGAAAGTACAACGAAAATTGTGCCAGGAGCTGTTACGTTCCAAAACACAGAAGCCATGACAAAGGTAAAGTTTTCCAATTATCAAGACTCGTTGTTTCTTCATGAACGTTTAAAATATCTATTTTTAACTCCCATTACATTGCATTTACATTGCAGATGTCTAGCGTTAGCCCGGTTGGAACTCTGGCTTACATTATAGACGAACAAGCTCTCCTAGTTAGAGTTAACAACGGATGGCAATACATAGCAGTCAGTATTGATACTAATTATTATTACAAGCTTAGTGTTACAAGTATACTAAAGTTGCTCTTTAATTTTCTACTCAGCTCGGATCACTTTTGCCTATCACAACGCCAGCACCGCCAACCACAGCACCGCCACCAGCGAATCCTCCCTTCGAAGCATCTAACTTGATTAACCAGATACCCGTGAAAGCCGACGGAACAGGAGTAAGTTGAAAGTTTAACTACATTTCGCGTAAAACATATTTGCAAATATAAATCGTATCGATTCAAAAAATAATTTATAATTTATTAATAAATAATTTATTATTTTTTTTATGCTGCACAGTGGTATCCGCGAATGGTGAGATTGTACCATATTTAACCGAGACTTTTTTTGTAACCGGCTATTTTGCATTTTTTAAGATTCTTACGCAAGTAATGGAAAAGAATTTAGTTCCGATTTCTGTACATTTATGTTAAATTAATAATATTGCAATAATAATACTGCGCGTGCAAATAAATATTTCAAATGCGAATTATACTTTTCAGTTAAGAATGGCTGCATTGAATGAACCGTTCACTGGAGATATGCATGGTATACGAGGAGCAGACTATGCTTGCTATCGACAAGCGAAGCGAGCGGGTTTGAGAGGTACATTCCGCGCTTTCCTGAGCTCTCGAGTTCAGAACGTCGATAGTATCGTCAGACTGGGAGATCGAGATCTCCCGATCGTTAATATAAAGGTAATTACGGTGGAATTAAGAAATATTTCTTTATTACTATGCGCTTTTTTATTAAATGATGCATTTGATCAAGTGATAAACAATTTGAATTGTATAGGGCGATGTGCTATTTAATTCTTGGAAAGAAATGTTCAATGGAAACGGAGCGTACTTCTCTCAGAATCCCAGAATCTACAGCTTTAATGGGAAGAACATCCTAACTGACTTCGCATGGTAAATGCATAAAAAATTTATTAAAATAGGACGGAATTTATGAAAATTTTATCATAGAACTAAGTAATTTCCAAATATAAATTTACCATATAAGACATAATTAATAACTTGGAAATGACACTTTCATTAAAAATGTCAGAAAAATCTGCGAATAGTATTATTAACAGAAATAGACGTGACACTTTTTAATCTCCGCGATTTTCTTAACGCTATTAAATAGATTTCGTCTCAATTTCAGGCCCGAGAAAGTCGCGTGGCATGGCTCTCACAAACTCGGCGATCGAGCAATGGACACTTATTGCGACGCCTGGCACTCGAGCAGCTCGGATCGCTACGGACTGGGCTCGCCGTTGACCGGCGGTCGACTGTTGGAACAAGTGCGATACTCGTGCGACAATAAATTCGCGTTGCTCTGCATCGAGGTGACGAGCGAGGTGGTGAGAAGACGGCGGAGCACCGACAATCGGCCGGAGGACGATGTCGAGATGACGGAGAACGACTATATGGAGTACTTAGAGGAACTCATGCAATACTGAACACTCTTTTTCGGTCATTTCCACCATCACCAGCAGCGCGAAAATCGAACCGTTATGTAAATAGGAATGCAGATGCGCGCGCACTGCGCTGTTTCGCGCGACAAGCATATCCCCTTGTTCGAATAATAATAATTCATATCGACATACATATCGTGAAATGATAGTGCGCGAGCCATCGCGAGTAGCGTCGCGTCTCATCTCGTTCCCCCCCCAAATCACGAAACTATCTGCGATTCCAAAGGTATAATTACTTGTACTTTCACCGCGAGTCACTAGCCATCCGCTTCAATCGCGTCTCAGTTCTTTCTCTCTTGTCTCGATCTTTCTTAAAGATAAAAAGAAGACTGATCGTCTAGATACTCATTCGTCAGTGTTTCGTCGTAAGTGAGTATTCGTACCGAGTACTCTCCCTCCTTTTAAGCCGGACCCGAGCACTTCGACCGTTCGAAGTTTTTCGAACGCCCATCACAGTTCAACGTTCGTTAAGCGTTTACCCTCATCGCGATAAACGTCCAAAAATAGTTATAGATCGCCGCACGAGTAACACGAATCCGGACAAGGCATACACGTTTCGCTCAGATTCGTGTTTATGGCGCACTTCAAAAACGACCGTCTAGTTATTATATCCCTTCTTGTGATTAAAGACCATATTTGAGGATTCCGCGATACATATTCAACATTTCGAAATATTCAGAAGTCAGAAAATGCAAGTAATGAGTCTTGCAGTTTAGATTCATAATAACATATCATTGAAAGAATTAGAGACTTGAATTTAAAACCGTGCTAAAATATGGAGTTTTCTAATTAAAATGAGGAATTTTTAAGAAAATTAGAAATTTTCTGAAAAATTAATATCTGACTAATTCTCTTCTTGTTATTTTATCTTTTTTAATTTTTTTTATTTTTTTTTTTTTTTGTAAAAAAAACCTATAAATTTTTAAAGATACAAAATATATATTTTGTTTAAATTATGTCTTTTTTAAAAAAATGTAATAAATTAACATAGCATGAGATTTTAGTTCATGACTTTTGATGAGTAGCATAGTTCAGTGACCATTTTCTTAAAGTTTGTTTTATATAACATAAAACAGAAGTTAAAACATTGTTATAATATTGTGCAAAAAGTCTCATTCATAAAACTAAAACAATTATGACTATTTATGGATTTAACGCGGTTTGACATTCAAGTCTCAATTGTTCGTGTAAATTTTCTCATTTGTCATGTTTAATACAAGAAACAGCTGATACAATTGCGCGAGTCTTCAAATGGTCATACAAATGATCATGTTCGGCACAATATGTGTGCTGCGAGTGCGGACTATTTAAAGAAATAACTAATTAACACTGCTCTAAATAAACCTAAACAAAGTTCATACCCGCGATCAAGTTGCATTTACATTTTAGCTGATACATATTGAGTGTGTATGTTAGACGTAAGAGGCACATCGATTAAGGAGTTTCAGATGACAGTGAATCGCTCGGCTGTCAAAGATTTATGCTCCGTGTATCTCGTGGGTCAACATGTAAAAACTTACTTTTTCTTAAAATCATACATCGATTGTTTAGACGATAATCTACGATCGACTTATATTTAAATCTTTGAAGATTTTTGACACAGAGATTTTTTTGGGAAAAATTTTACGAAAATTGAGATTAATGATCAGAAATTAAGAATTGAGAAAAGAATAAAAAATTATAAATTAGTTACAATCTTTTCTCATACTTATTTAAACAACTTTCATGATATTAACAATCGTGTATGATTTCAATATTGCTCTATTGTATACAAGATCTTAAAAAGTAGCACCTGCCTATCTTTGATATATAACTTTAAGTTACATATATGATATAATATCTCTTTCATCTGCGCATGATGTATAAACCTCATCAAGCTGGCCTAAAAGTATACAAACAACTAACATTTACCAAACGTTAATCGTTTAACTCTATGATACTGCCATGAAATATGTATAATAATAATTAATATATCTTTCATTTGTGTGTGCTATTTTTTCACAGCTCATTTCTAAGCGAACTTGTATTTCCAACCCTTACATTACACTGAGCATAAATCGAATCTAAGTCAATGTCTATAACTCGAAGATATACCGTTAACGTTAATATTATTTATTACAGTTACGTAGAGATTAATCGTGAGACCGTTATATGTACACTTAGGTTGTCAGCACATGCTTGTTGGCGAATATTTCCTACGTAAACTTTTTTAAATGTCGTCAGTAGTAATTCGTGACATTCAAGAATGTACAATCGATTGACCTTCGATATAGTTTGCACCGAGAATGTTTTGTTTCCAAATTTTGTATTGTTTATACACTTTATTATTGTCTTTCTAAATAAAAGACGAAAAAGAGCTTTCTCTCGAGTTCTCTCTCTCCACCTTCCTTCATTTTTCTTATATATATAAATTACATTACTACACGTAGAAAATTTTATGTCAAAAATTACTATGTACAGCTGTAGCCGCGAACCACAAAACCGCGAACCAAAAATTTTTACTATGTTTCACATGTGAAAAACAGTAAAAATTTTTATAATTCTTTTATAATCCGCGGTTATTGCCGTACATAGTAATTTTTTATATAAAATTTTCTTCGTGTATAAAATTATATATTTTTATTCAAACATGTTATATAACACATAAAATGGTAATATTTGGTAATATTTGGTTCGGAACAACAATAACAAATTTCAATATTTAAACAGTAAAAAATTGTTCAAGACATTATAAACATTCAAATAAAATTGCAGTGAGAAAAAATGTAATGTATATTTTTTTTAGTCATTGTACCAAAGAGTTTCTTTTCAAAGTATTCAAAAGATAAAAATAATTCAATAAAAAATGCATATTATGAAAGGGGTATCAATTATATATCAATTGCTTACACAGCAATGGTATCTATAATCATAACTTTTCATCCCCCCTTACAATTTGTGCATTCCATATTTTGACAATTCAATTTTTGTAGAAATGTTAAAAGATTAATATTATTTTTTTTAATTATATAAAAAATATATTTTTATAATCATTAAAATTATATTAAATATTATATTCTCAAAAGTTATATCTTCAGAATTTTTATTTCTAAATTTAATTTTCTATAATTCATACCTTCATAAAAATTTTTTCTACATATTTATTTATATAATATATATTTCTAATTGTGTAATTTTACAATAAAAAAGTAATGTATAAATTTATTGTTTAATTATATTATTCATTATTTAATTTATCTTTTTAATAACTTACATATTTAATTTATGTAAAATTCTTTACTGTTAAAAAAATAATTAAGTTGTTTATTACTTTTTTTGTAAAAATTCAAACTATAGACAAAAATGTAATTAATTGTCAAAGAATATTGTTGAAAATCTGAATACATATATCTTAATATATAACATCTTAATATATATCATATACAAATATATTAGATTGTACATAATTAATGTTAAATAATAAACAATATTAAATAAATTTAATAAATACATAATTACATAAGTATATATACCCAGCAACATTAACTAACAGTAACATAACATCAATGTTATAATTTTCCACTCAACAATATAATAGTTACGTACAAAACATGTTATACTACAATAACATTGTTGAGTAGAAAATTATAACATTATTATTGATGTTATGTTATTGTTGTTTGCTGGGTATATATAAAATATATATATATTCTTTTTATAATTGTACTCACCGGTTATATAGAATATCGCAGTTTGCTATGTCCGCCTCAAATCTGCTTTAGACTGCTTATTAGTTCCATCGAAGAATCGAATAAAAAACAGGCACTTTATATTACTGGAATTGGCGCCGGTTTGAATCCATGATACAGCAATCGGCAAAACACCATTAAGTGAGAACAAATGTAGAAAAGAATACACTCCAATACTTCCCTCGTTATTTTGATCCGCATTCCTGCAAAAATATGAATTTGTTATATATTTTTAACACGGAATGATATGAAAAATACATAATTAATGTTCGCACTCCGCTGAGACGTAGCGCACAGAGATAGTACAATGACCGTTAAAATATTTTAGCATAGATGGCAGGAATGGCAATACAATGCTGCCAACTTAATTTTTATCTTTGGGGTTATAACTAGTCTAGTATATAAGGTCTGTTCTTTTTAGGTAAATTAGCTGCACTAGTTCAGCTAACAAAAACAGACCTATAGTATAATATTTGTGATTGAAAACAACCTACATGTGAAAAAAATTACATTAAATGTTTAATTTTGATATTGTTATGTAAATTTATATACTCATGAATGTATTTAATAATTAAAATAATCGAATTTCAGGTTATTTCTAATCAGTAAAAAAATAAAATATAATTAATAGACAAAAAGTATCGCATACAATATTTTATAAAACTACACATTTATTATAAAAAAACAATAATTTTTAATTATATCTTAAAATCAAAAACAAATTTATATAAATCTTACGAGAAAATCAAAACTTGCGTTGCCCGTATGCAAATTCTATTTTGTAAATCGCAAAACTGATATATTCGGTTTATATCTATAAAACTGACGTACTCGACATTGTCAGAATTTTATTATGCTCAAAATCGCTTACGAATTTTGATTATTATACAAATTATAATCTAAATCTTAGAGTTTAAACTTACGACATGCTTCATCTGCATCTCCGAAGAACAACTGTACTTTTCCTCTCAAATGAGCGGGAATTGTAATATTCCATGTTACCAACTTTATTTTACTGTTGTTATATGTGAAAAAATAAATTTAAATTTTTTAATTTCGATATCATGTGAGTTTATGTGTTCACAAATTATACACAATAATTAAAATAATGAAATTGAAATTGTATTGTTTATAGTAATTATCATGCAAGGTTAGAATGATTAATCAACATATACTAATATCGCATCATAAAACAATACTATATCGAGCACCCGTAAAAAATGCAATAATTTTTTATAAATCCAATAATTATTATATATCTCAAAATTATATGCAAATTTGCGTATCTCTCACGAGAAAATTAAAACTTGAATTGCAGTATCGTTACATCAAATTTTCAAAAATCGCTTAACAGTACATTTTCTGTAATATTATTAGAATTGCATTGTACTCAAAATTGTTCGCAAATTCAGATTATTATGCAAATTATGATAAAACTTGAAATGTTAACTTACCATGTGCTTTACGTGCGTCTGCGCCAGTCTGCGCCATTTCAGCAACACGCAACCATGGTGCGAGACTAGCAATATGTCGCGTATCCACTGCTGCCAACATAATATTACCTTCATGTAAAAAAACTATTTTAATAATTTTATTTAAATATTGCATTATTTTTCTAATTCAAATTTAAGTATATAAATAAAAGTTAACGATTTTTTTCTTTTTATTCCATCTAAAATAAGATGAAAGGATCAAAAAGTTTATTATAATAGATACTGTATACACAGTTTTCACGCTTCATTATAATTTTGTATTTTTTTCTTAAGTAAATTTAAAAAAATATATATATATATATTAAGATTTGAGCACTGCTAATGCTTCTGTATATTTCAAGCCTTCTAAGATATAAGCTAAATTTTCAACTGACGCATCCTCATCTTCTTCCGCCCATATCTCGAGCATACTCTTACATTGTTCATATGGTGTGGTTTTACCTTGGAAGAAAGCAATCTAAAATGCAATACTGCCTGTTAAAATCTCGTCATTTCATAGTTAGCATTACAATATTATGATAAAAATTCGTATATTAATATACCTCATCGTTTGTATAACCAAGTTTCGTCGCCAACTTCTTCCAATCATTCTTTAGGCTCTCCGATATTTTCGCCACCATTTCTGATGTAACTTTATTCAATTTTCTAGCTTTTCCGTCAGCACTTTCAGAATCTACTTGCTCACTTTCTTGCTTTAAGACATCTTCGTTAAATTCTTGTTCGTTAGATTCTGATGATGGTGTTTCCTCACTTTCCAATTTCGCATCAGATTGTGTCTGCTATGAAATGTAGTCAAATATATAAGTTGTGATAAAGCAAATTGAAAATATAATCATAAAAAAATAATTAATATTACTTACTGGACGGTCTTTGGCAATTTTTTTTATCATTGTTTCTAGGTACTCAGGCAATTTATTTATGGGATAATTCCCATGAACAAAAAAGTGCGGACTTCGTCTCGCTAACAGTCTTAATGCTCTCCAACCAAAATTACCGTCATTTACTTTTCTGCAAAAGTATAAAAATGTTAATAATTCCAATGAGAATAAATATATTGCAAACAATAGCACTTACTTGTATTTATCATCAATCATTGCAGCAGGATCCAATTCTACTATCGCATCTTCGAAATATGTTTCTAAAGACGGGAGAAAATCTCTATCCTTAGATTTGCAAGCTTCGAGATTGTTAGGACATAGATTCCACAATTTAGTAAGTTCAGGGCTATTGAAGAATAATGTATGTTTAATCATGTAATTTCACTCGTAAATGTTATTATTTCTAGTGGAAATCTATCTTACTTTCCCATATGATATTTGCCAACCGTTTGTGCATCCCTGATTACATCACCGATTCTTCGTCTTGATCTCTTCGGTTTTCTCGGTTCTTCGTCGCTGCTGAGTTCCGATGCTGGTTTCTTAAATGGCGGACAACCTTCATTTTTCCATGCATTCCAATGCTCCTCACGTTTCAAAATGTTTTTCACAGTCTCCGCAAATATCGGCCCATCAGGTGGTGTTTCAGTCAACAAAGTGTAAACTTGTTCAGTGGTAATCTTTACCCATTCCACTTGATCCGGCTTGAGTTCATGCGTCTCACTTAAAAACGACAGATATCATAGTGATTCAATAATGTACATATCACAATACATTTAATTTAAGAAAAGCAGACCTTGTCTCATAGCCACTGGCAAGGAAGCTTTGAAAAACAAACAGTGTTTTATGACTATTCAGGGATGTGTTACTAATTGTGTCGACAAGCAATTTGCTAATTCAGTGAAGGGAAATTGATTTGTTACAAGGTATTTGTTGTATTGCATTAACAGAGAATACTTACGCTTTGAATTTTACAGTGCTATTCAGATACTGGAAAAGAATGAGGAATTGCAGCAATACGTATCGCCTGAAATTGGAGTCAGATAGCTGCAACTCCAATAATTTTTGATTAGTTAAATATTTTGCAAAGTAGTGAGTTTCCTTGTGAGAGCCTTCCATAGAAGAATCCATCTTGCATGTTGTAGGGTAGCTGCGTTGCTCTTCCAATTTAAAAGATGCAAATGCTGACAGCACATTAGATGCATGCTATCAAAAAATATAAATTTTTCAATAAGTTATCTACAATAAATATATATATTATAATTTATAAAAGATATAAACTTACAGCTGAAAAAACTTTCCAATATATTTTACTGTAACACTGATTTGGATTCCTAAAGAAATCCTGCAATGCCCAAAACTTTCTATATAAATTATAATCGATTGATATTTTGTTCTCTGACTTATCATCATCTTTAGTTATTTGCTCCAGATCATCTCCTTCTGGGTTCTCAGAGCCAAATTCCGTCTGATTTTCTAGATTAAACTCACTAACAATATTCAGACCTGATCTCTCAGAAAAAGGAAAGAACTTTGCGAGAAACAATAAAATTCTACCGCAAAATACAGTTTGCTGTGAGCGTGATAGTTTCCTCAACAAGTCGTTACACATTCTTAATAAATTGTTTTTGCATGCGGTGAAAAATAAGTCCTCTTTCCATATGGCGACATTATTTTCCACAAAAGTAAACAATTGTTCACACCAATCCAGCGTCATTGTATCAAATATATCACTCAGAAGCATCACCGGCATACTTGCCGTTGCTAAATCTCTCCTGCATAATTCTATGCAAAATGTAATATATGATTCAAGAGAATGAACATTGCCTGATGGGTTTTCCTTCAGCAGAATTAACAGAGTATCTCTAAGCGCTTGATCGATGGCCGCTTTTCTGTCACCATCATTAGCACAACGTTCAATACATCTCTTTTGAAATGACGAGATATCTGATAGTTTGAAATATTGTTGTAAATAATCCTGAAGAAACAAACCATTTTCTGTCACTGAGGATGGCCAAAACAAATGGGCCGAAACGTATGTTATAACTAATTTATTTAAATACATTTTATTGAGCAACTACAACGTGGCTCTGGGCTTATATAGCTATTAATTTTTATTGTTACAAACCATTTTATAACATATAAAGAAACAGTACATACATCCTCTTATATATTGCAAATGTCAAGAGATTATTACTTACGCTATAGTCTTTCCTTAGCACTTCGAACATTGCCATGATTATTTTTATAACTATATCGCCATAGATATTTGTTATCTTTATTGAAAACAACTCTTCTAGTTATCCGGCTTTATTACATATTTTCACTTTTTTAGTTTATCAAACAGCAAATTAGAGGTTAAGACTGCTACTGTAAATTAGGTTGGGTTAGATTAGGTTAGTATATAAATCAAACCTTGATATTTTTTATCACATTATTTATAACTCTATATTTAAATTAAATATAACTAAAATTAGAAAATTGTAGTTTTGTCAAAGTATAGCGACAAATAAAACACAAGTAACAAATATTAATCTATTGCATAATTTTATAATGATAGTGAAAATCACATTACATGCATTAACATTATAAGATTCCATATTTTGGATATTTTATTAAAATATACATTTTGTCCAGAATACAAAAGGAAAAATTATATACACTTGTTTTCTAAAAAGTTTGCTTAATAATGACAATAGTAATAAATGTGTTATTAGCTGTAATAATAATACATCCGCAGTAATAATAGTACACATAATCTCATGTAGTTATAAACATGAAAAGGGAATCATTTATAATTTAAGTATAAACAATTATATTATAATTATATATATTTGCAAATTTTAATTTTAAACTGTTAAATAAATCTTAATTTCTAAACGAGTACAAATTTTCTGTCAACAGTGATAATAATCTTCTTTATGTATTTTTTTTATTAATTGGATACTCATTCTTAAAAATAGAACTGATAATAAAACATGCACACTCACTAATTGTCATTAGAAAAAAAGACGGTATCTATAATTTACTGCGAAGTGTTATTTATTATTTTCTGCTCTTGTAATGTTTAATCCTTTATCAATATCTCTCGTTTTGCTCTGTAAAATTTTCATGTATATGCACTCATAAAGCTGTATCTTTTCTATAAACAGATCCATTTTGTTGAGGCCTTCTTTTTCACTAATTTTAAAAATCTTTAAAATCAGCAAGCTGGATTGATAAAGGATTAAAAATAGACTCGTGACATTAGAATATAAGACAAATTGCAGATTCTAGTGATAATATATATATTGAAGCTTGCACATCCTTTTTGATCCACAAACATCGTAATAATTATTTCTTGTAAGCAAAATTATTTTGTGCAACGTGTAATGTGGGATATATTCATTTGTACGTATTTTATGTGAATCCTAAATATTGTCTCTCTCTTTTTTTTCTTTATCTCCCTTTTTTATAATTTGTTTAATCTGTATAATCAGTATATATTCAATGAATAACAGAGTAACAACATTTTATCATTCAAGCAATGTATTATTTAATACTAAAAATTCAAATAAACTTAAAATCATATTTATATATTTTTCATAGAATAATATTGATCCAAATATATTTCAAAGAATTTTTTTTAAAGTAATTATAAATGCTTGTTTTACGATCATTTTTATTTAAAAAAATGTATTGTACACTATTTATTAAAATTAATATAATTCGTGCCGTACGTATATACAATATTCTGATATATATAATGTAACTTCTGATATTAAACATTATTAATCTAACATAATCAAAATTTACAACGTGATTTATTTAAAAAAAATGTATATATAGTAATGATAATAATAAACAATAAAAAAAACTACAAATTACGCATAATATTTTCGTTAATTAGAGACATATAAGAAAAAAAATCCTTTTGTATAAGAGATATTGAACTTTCCAAGATATTTTTTTCTCTTTGGCTACTTTTTATTTAAATCATAATCTTATTATTATCTGTCATATTATTATCTGTCTTCTTATTATCATTTTTAACCACTAATATAATCGTCATAGAGAGTATAAGTATTAGTTGTAACATATGTATCTGTTAAAATATAGTTTTGAAATGAGAATAGAATTTACATCGCTTCTCAAAATATTGTGAATATAATTTTTGTTGCTATTTTATCACCAACGTCAACAACAAGGCACTTTCAAGGCCTTTATTGCTCTTTCGACAAGATAACGATTAGAGAGAATAATAAGAGAATTATGGTAAAGCTTCGCCGCCGTCTTTTCTTGTTATCTCTCATTTTAAACATTATTTAAAATTTTGATATAGAAAAAAATATTTAAAAATGTGTTATTCTAAATATTCATTGATTCATATACGAATCTTATTATACTTTTTTTATATCTTTTTCAATTTTATCAATTGTCTGGTGTTCGTCTTAAACTGATCGCAATGTCTTCCGAAAATATGTCTTTCTCCTTCATTATTTCATATTTGGCGTAGTTATATATTTCATAAAAAATTAATGTAAATTTACTTTAACACGTTATATCATCTATAGAATATTGAGGCATTAGCTGCATCTGAGAAGCAGACTATATATGTGATACGAGAGTTTGTGTACAAGTTTGCAATTAAGGCAACAGACATAGACATCACTAAAAGTGTCCATATGCGCAGGCGATAATATTGGCTTAGCACTAAGAGCTGTATTCATTATTCTACTTGAGTCGTAATAGCTACATTTTCCGTTATATCAACGCTTAGTATTCAGACCGTGTTTCAGGCACTAAAAACGGATGATACTTCGCGCAACAAGGTGCGGGGACGCTTTATTCTGAAGGAGAATTAACAAAACGAATATATATTGATCTCAATAATATCGTGTATATAAAAGTGAACGTAAAATTATGCACCAACACTCAGAATTCGAAAAGTGAGATATTAGGTGCTCTCCCCATTGCGTGGCTTTTGTCTATGATATGTTTCATCACAGTTATGTGCATAATACAAATATAATAATGCAATAATAATTGTACAAAACAATGATCCGTGCAGTTATGTTGTTAAACGTCTTTACAACAGCATTATCTGCTGAACAGTAAATGAGGATTTTGTGCGATAAATAAGAAATAGCGCTATATCTTACTAAAAGCGATTTAGTAAGGTATAGACATGTTTCGTGAAATTCAAACAAAAGAGTCAGTTCGATCGAAACATTTTAAACTTACATAAACCCGTCGAATGAACTCTTTCCTTAAATAAGTATGTTTTAAATTAAAACTAATATACATGATTTTACTTGCCAATTTTTTTAAATCAGCGTGATTCTATTATGTGCAGAGCCGACTACATTTCATTTGCGCGCTTGAAAACTTATTACGTTTTACTATTATATTAACTTCTAATAAACTATTTACATCTTGTCAACGCATTCGGTAATATTGACTTTTAACAAGCAACAATTATCTTCTTGCCGCGTAGGTTGTACAGCAATAACAACATTTGCCGATTGCGTTACGAAAACTCTGAACGAAAGTGTTACAATATAATTTCTGAAAATAAAAATACGATAAATTGTCAAATATCAATCTCTCCACAAATAAAACAGATATATTGAAACATAAATGCTGTCAAAAAGTAAGATAAATCAATTTACATTTAGCATTTTAATATATCACATGTTTCCCCAAATTCAGAGTTTGATAAATAATTGAAGATACGCCAATAATAATTAAATTGCCATTTTTATAGTCTCTCTCTATAAGTTATAACAATTTTTAAATCATACTTTATTATTTAACACTTGCGTTCAGAAATATACATATGTACAAACTCTCTATTTTTTTTTTTCTCCAAGACGCCAAGGCCCAATAATACGTTTTAAAATACTAGATTTCCAGCATCGTGTTGTTTGCCCCTATTAGAGCGAATTTTACATCTATATATATTCTTCTTCGTACAACACTAAATCCTATTATTTGATAGATAACTCTGATATGGAATTAATTGACTGTGCAATTCGTTATGATACTTGTGAAGTGAAATTGAAAACTTCCAAATATGAATTGATTTCCTGTCATTTATTGCTATATTTGCAACTTCGAGATTCTTGACAAGTTGATATTATTTATTTTTCATGTTTCGATAAAAAAATCTGTACAATATGAAAATCATAATTTCGTAATTTTTGGAAGATTTCATCTTCCACAAATACTTGTGCACGCTTTATCTTACATTTATGTCGTAACTCAAATAGTAAAGCTAACTTCGATGAATCTAATACAATGAGTGATTTTAATTGATAAATATGAGTCAATAATTGAAAAATATGAGTCAATAAAAATCTTGAAGAACGTAAGTAAATGTAGAAAACAAATTGATTAAGATATTCACTGCAAAGAATCCTAGCAACAGCATAATCCTAACAACGTGAGTTATTTAATCACTTGATAAATATTTGAAGACTAATATATCAGTTTTCTGAAGAATATTACTTAATGGAATCCAAAGGGAACATACGTGTGGGATATGCAAGGTACGATTCACAATTGCTAATTCATAATTGCAAGGCCATTTAGGTATTTGTACACAAGTCAGAATAATTTTGCTGATAGCTTATCTATTAACATTCTTTCTATGTGCGTGTGTGTGTGTGTGTGTGTGTGTGTGTGTGTGTGCGCGTGTGTGCGTGTGTGTGTGTGTGTGTAATTCACTGGGTTCTTCTAAATTTCCTTTTGGTGTTTTATAAGTGTAGAGAATAAAAAGTTTTTCTTCTTAGTAACAGCAAACCTTGTCGAATGTCATCTATCGTGGAAATTGAAAACTACCTAAATCCTTTTTATACTAACGCATAAAAACGATCATACTAAAGCTGCAAAAACATACCATACTATTCGACAGCAAAGCCGCAAGTTTCCTCAACAGCCTGCGTAAGCTTGTCAAGCATCTTTTGATAAGTCGGATAATTTTGCGGTATGTCTATTCTATTGAAACAGGTATGCGCTTTTGGTAGATTTTCGCTCGGAGCGTCAATAGCGTGAATTGTGAAAAGTCGAGGACCTGCTGCTCCCGTCGATCCTTTGGAATTAAACGGAATGCGTGAAGTTATTTGCACATCATTTTTCATACAACGTGTGTTTAAACAGCTGATATTAAAATGAAAATTTACCTTGCAAAGCCTTGAATCCTTGTAGCGGGACTCTGGAGCTACCGGTGACGAACTGAAGCAATCTCGCCCTCATTTCTTCGCCATACGACTCTACTATCTGCCAGAACCATTGCACAACTGGTGTATCAGGCGTGCAATGCTTTAGTCGAGTATGCATCTTCCAATCGTTTATGTCGATAGTACCTAGCCCTCCGATAACCAACTCTAATTCACGCTCGTCAAATGGTCTTAGTAGCAGAGGAGGAATCAGTTCGTGAAATCCTTTCTGTAACGCTAAGAACTGTTGCTCGATACCGCGCATGAATCGATAATTCACGTATAAACGAACGTATTCCTTCTTATTTTCTTCCGTGACCGTGATGTCTTTACCGCCCGGCTTTAATTCGTGATTTTTCAGCACTCCAAAACTGCTGTGTTCCACGGAAAACGTAGCTTCCAACACGCCGTCTATACTATTTTCCCTGATAACGGAGAAATAAATTTACAACTTTTTCAAACTGTCCTTCAAAATAACATACAAATGTAATATTCATAAATTTTTTTTAAAAGATATGTTACTTACAACATCCATGTAAGACTCCTGTGCAATTCAGGATCGACTCCTTCTATATCGCTTAACGTTATAGCTTTGTTAAGCAACATTTTGTAGAACGGAGTTGTAAAACCACCATCGACGTGATGACCGTGAAAAACGGCGATGCCTATGATCCTCCCAGCAAAATGAAAATACGATAAATGTTCTGGATTTATACCTGAATCCGGATTAATTTGAAGCGTATAATTGTCATCTCTCGAATACTGAAAGAGTCCGTATTGCGGGTTTAACATCTCGTGAGACAATAAATATAACCACTCGCGTGCCACACCGCCGTAATCAAGCCCTTCCTCGCCACGGAATTTCACCATAAGTCTTTTGCGCATATCTTTCGGACGCATTTTCATTATCATTCTGTACGACTCCTGTAAAAAAAAACGATACTTCTTACAAACACGATATCTTCACAAAAAGAAATTCTAATTATTTACACAATACGATAATGACACAAAGTATTCTAGAACAAAAGAATTTGTACGTATGACAAAAATTGCGCACTTCGAATATTTCATTTCTCGACACCTCCAATCTACAATGCCCGCTTTGAGGTTGAAGAGCATTCAATTCTGCTCGAAGACATTTTAACTTCGCCACTAAATCACGCTTGTATTTTGGAAGGAGTTCATTGTCCATAAGCTCCTTTGGTAATTCTGACACTGTTTGAGTATTTTGAGACGGCGTGCTTTCCACTGCAACACAAACAAACGTATGTTATAAGCGCCGATAACATTATTCAAACAAAATTAAAAATTCTGATTTTTACGATAATGCGCCCTAATGAACAAAATTCTTCCAAAGTGAAACGGCATTTTCAAAGTGACAAAACAACCGAGACTGATTAACAGTCAGTTATGCGTTACATAGATAAACGCATACGCAGATAAGATAAAACTTTGAGACATGCGTTTTGTTTTGTTTTCATACAGAAATAAGCAGTGTTGCTTATTGTACTGCTGTTATCAAATATGAAATACACATCACAGATGTAAGTATATAAGATCTTCAGAGTTATTCTGCATAATGTGTGCTTGTAAAATAATATCTTTTTCTAAGAACATACTGTTTTTAAAAAAATTTTTGCGAGAACTCACCTGTTGGAGAATTGTTATTGCTTCCATTTTCATTTCTCGTCGGCTGCTGCGGCGTGTTAGGTTGAACCATCGATGAACTCGTCGTATTCGCCTCAGCAGTTTCACTCGTCACAGAATTGATCGAATTATTCGCGGTTTGGTCATTCATATTGTTATTTTGCCTCCTACTGTTGATTAAGTAAGCAATTTATATCCTCTTAATTGTAAATAACTGGTTTTTTACTTACGTTGTACTTACTTTAGCAGATTGCTTATGATTTGACTGGACAGTCTGGGATCGGTAAATTGTGTTGTCCTGTTATTGTGATCCACGAAGTACACCCGTCCGCTTTGCGTCTGTCTCATTTCCCATCCGCTAGGAAGAGGACCAAGTTCACTCGCCAATTCGTTAGCTTGTAAGTCACGCGGTATCCTCGGGTCATGCCAGGTGGAAGATCCAGTTGGTACGTGGTAGAAATATACCTGGCCTTGTTGGGTCTTCCTCATTTCTGATAAATAATAATTTAAACTGCATTTTTACTATTCTCGAAATAATTTGTATTGCATTTAAAATTATACTGGCATTTTATCCGTACCGTAGCCGCGAGGCAAGTCTGGCGGTTGCGGGGGATCGTTTCGTCTGTCACTACTTGGCATAACACTATTTCTATTTCTGTTACTGCGATTAGGCCTTCGCGTTTGGCTGCCGCTACTAAGGCCACGTTCTATCCTCCCGTTCACATTTTGATTGCCGTTCTGCTCGTCGGTCCCTCTGACGACACGTCGTTCTCTCACAGACGACGCCGGCGTCGTAGCATTTCTCATGTTGTGCTGATTATGCTGTTGATTGCGATTCTGCTGTTGCTGCGTCGGCGTGTTTCTCGGAGTATTTTGCGTCGAGTTGTCCCGACTGGGCGTCTGACAGGGCGTCCCATCGCTGTTCCATTCGGACGACGTGTGCCTTGCAGGACTCTCTTCGTTTCGTACATTCGGTGAGCTTGCGCTACTGCTGGGAGACGTCGGCTCTGATGACGACAATGGAGGTGGTTCCGGTGTTGTCGGTATAATAGCATTATTAGGCCTATTAATAAAATGATTCAAATAAATCTCGTCATAATATCTTGTTTCAGCATAAGTGACATTCATAGTTGTTGAATATTACCGGACATTCGGACGGATCCATTGCGTGCTTTTCGTGTGATGATTCACGTAGTAAAGCCGACCACTTTCCGTCCTTCTCTCTTCCCAGCCGTCCGGTAAGTCGTTCGGACAGCTCAGATCTCCAAGCACATCGACCACAGCATTGTGACCGACAGTATTGCTCACGGCACCATTATGACCATCCCGTGACATTAAAGACACTACAATTTGTCCTTTAACAACGTCTGTGTCTTCAGAATGAGCCTTGCACAGATCCAAACGTTGATCTAAAAGTAAACACGTTACAAAAAACATTCCTTATAAAATATGTAATCATAACATATAAGACGTTTTCTCTTTTAAAACTAACATATATCAAAATATCCAGTGTTGACTTTAAAAAACAAGTCTGAGAAGATATTTACATAAAAATAATCATTGTTTGATCAACTGTTATAAAAATGGTATTGCTTTCGCATTCACGAAAACAAGTCATGCGCCACATATAATGCAGACTTTGTATTTAAATAAATTTATACTTTAGTTTAATTTTAATTCTGTTTAGTGAAGATTAAAATAAATAACATAAAATTAACACAAACATACATCCTGTATCCTTAAGTCTTTGAATGGTATTCGATAATATGCGTACACATCCCAGAAATCCTCCACCCTGTTTCTTATGGAATTTTCTGTAATTCCACACAGATATAGTGATCCCATCGTTCTTTCCGATGTATCTGCATAAATAAATAAGTTATTTTTTATTCTAATACAAAATTTATTTTATAAAGAATTAAGAAAAAAACTTACAAATCATAGTGCTGATTCCATTTAGGATCAAGAGTAGCTTTACAAGTATCTGTACTGTGACACTGTCCAGAACCATCGACACTTATCTTAGCAAAGGGATCGGGTAAACCTAAAAGAAATGATTTTTATGTTATTCATGTCCCTACATAATAGAACCAAACACCTTATTAGAATAAGAATTAGAATAAAAATACTTACGAAATAAATCCTTCCTAGCAAGATTACGGGCGCATAAAACTGAAATATGCAATATTGTATTATATGATGGAATTTATATTTAAAATAAGCTAATGTTACACTAAAATATTTTAATTCTGATTTATGCATTATGTATAATTCACATCATGTGTGCAATTTAACCTTCAACATATCAAATATAATATAAAAAGAAAATACAGCTGAATAAAATAAAATTTAAAATGTACGTTTCATCATATTTAACTCAATAATTCTTACGTTAAGTTATATATATGCAATTATCGAAATTCTAGACCATTTCTTTGTTTAAAATATAAGACTTTAATGCGTTATAATAAAGAAAATATGAATTTTAAAATGCTAAGCCTACTAAGATTTGTAGTATAAAATTCCAATAGCCTAAAACTAAATAAAATATACATTTTATTCATTTTTATTAATATAATTTAGTAAATTAATCACACTATGGCAATATTTAATTTTTAAAAAATTCTTAAAAAATTTAGTTTGTTTGATAATCTACAATGCAATTTTATATCCATGCATGTTTATTATGCATAAAATAATATTCTCTGAACTACTATGATGGAAGTACGACTACATCTTCACTTTTATGATGAAGACAATTTGTGCTTAATGCCTTAAATGGTGTAATAAATGATGTAATAAATCATGTTAACAAATTGCTAACAATGATTCAATGGCCTTCATAACAAATAAAAAAGGAATGACCATACATAACAAAAAACTGGCAAAAAATAATATCAGCATAGAATAAGCTACTTTCTCTTTTTGATGCTTTATAAGATATCCTTATTATAATTAAATTTAACACTTGGTTGTAGTAGTGTAAATTAATATTGCACTCTATGTGAAATATACATAATACAATGTTCCAGAAATTCCCCATACTGACTCCAAAATATTGCGGATCAACGAGAGAATAATATGAAAAAATAACACGTTAAATAAACCCGATAACAGTCCAAAATTAACATTTTCATCGACCTCCCGGAGAGGGCTCGTGGTGGGGTCTCGAGTCAGAAAATTATCATAACTAGAGGACGAGAAAGCTCCGATGGAGGCCGCGGCTTCTGTCCAGGGTGCGCGATATCTCCGTGACCCAATGAGGACGAGCCAAACGATTGACGTTTTGCATCACCCATCGAGGCCCTCCCGCACTAATTAAATAATGCACAACAAAAAAACAGGCCGTGCGTAGGTAGGTGGGTGCTTTTGCGTGTGCAAACCGAGACCCATGTCGCGGCGACTTTCACGCTCGGTGGCGAGACGCTCGACGCTCCCGTGGACGAGGACGCTAAACACTCACTCGTCAGACGAATCTTCATGGCCCCGTTCCTCCTGCTACCGCACGGGTTCGACATTCTGCACGCGCATTTAACGCTCCGCACCGCGCATCGGCGCTATAATTGGTAAATAAAGTATCCGCTGCTCCTGCCAGAGGAACGCGCGACTGCGGTAATATACTTCACTCGCCCGCACTACGCATACATATACACTGGCATCCAACACAGACGCGCACGCAAGCATTCTTTCGTAACGCAGTTATCGACTCCGATACTAGTCGACTCTCGGAGCAAACTCGACGGTGAATCGACGCCTTCGAGAGATCTCGAATCGTGCAGTAACATGCGATCCTTGTCCTGGACGTAGCAAACAATTGGACAGAATATGTACAACATTAAGGATAAAATCGTATGGAAGAAAAAAAGATAATGGCTGTTTCATTCGATGTATCGCAATTTATTCCGATTGCATATCGTTGTTGGATGATGACACAGACAAACGTATTATTCTACTTATCAAAATTCATTCAAATAAATATGGTTTTTATACTCAGTAAGCAAAATGTTAACTATTTTGACAGATTGACAGTAATTCTGATAAGTAAAATAATATATTTGTTTATGTATTGGCATCTAATATTGCTAAACGACCATCTGAGATATAACTTATCAAATAATACTAAATATCTATCCAAAATAAAAAATACAGCACCAACATCGACTCCGTCTTTTTTTAAATATTCTGGATTTTTATCTTGTTTCAAGTATTAAATATGACTGATATGTATTTGATACTTATAAAATTAAAATATAGACATTTTTTACATATTTCTAAAATTATTTCTTTAAACGTATTGTGCACACTTTAACAAAAATTATTGAAATTATTCATAAAATTTTCCACACTTTGTATAACATTGATTGTACAATGTTACACCAGATGTGATTCGTATTCAAATATTTTCACATTTTGTACGTGCCGGATAAGAGAAGATATTAGGAAAATGGTATAAAAATGACGTTCTCCGTCATTTGGTTCATAAATTTCCTTTATTATATTGTTGAAATCTTAGCGTAAAAACGTACAAATAAAAGATAAATATCCGCAAATACTTGTGAAAGACGGTAAACAATTTGAGACCGTCGCGACAAATATTTAGCGCTGAAACACGCACGAATGGCATTATATAAAAATGTGTCATGATATTTTTGTTGCTGCTGCTTATCAAACTTAAAAGTAGCATAACTTAAACTTACGAGTGTGATATCAGTACATTATTAACGATTATAGTATCGTAACTGGCCTGCTTCTACGAAGGGACTGCAGCTGATTAGTATTAGCATATATATACGTATAAATTGTTTTTAAATATAAATCTCGCATGTTTTTTGTACTATGATTAATTAGGTACTGTCGCAAAGTTACATCATACTTTAACACATTGCTTAAACAATTAAGAATTTTTTCCTTATTAGCAGAAGGAATGATGTCTAATAAATAACTTACTTAAAAAATTTTTGAAAGTTTTAAATCTAAATTCTGACTGATTAAATCAATGAAAGAGAGATGGAATTCGACAAAATAGACACCTCGTGAATTTTACAAAACTTCGTACTTCATTTTATTTACTCGCACTCCATATTATTTAAAAAAAAAAGTTTGCGAAGCTATAATAGTTTTTCCACACTTAACTATCCGGCTGGAAAGAAAGCTTCCTTTACATTGGGAAACTTTTTGGCAGTATCATCCCTTATGAATTAGAGAAGATTCCGCGTTCGAAGATCACGGAATGTGCTTAATATCGATTGCCGCGCGCAGTCCCCCGTTGTACTTGAAGGCTATTCAGGTTTCTCAGTTCTCCCCCCGAAATGTAAGAAACGCATCCACGAGAAAGATGATACCCTCAATGATACAAAGAGAACCCTTGGCCAAGCCGGTATCGCGGAATGATGTCTTGTATTGCTTTTGGAAATAATCGATGTTAAGTGCACCCACAGCGATGAACAGAGCACATCCGATGAGGGAGAAGAAGAGGTCCTAAAAGACAAAAAATCGCATTTAATAAAAAATACAATGATAATTCTAAACTTAGCAATTTCTTCATTTATATTTGAGTCTTGTTAATTCTATTTCTGCATTCAGTGAAATATATTATATCTTTTACGATATCTGATATAACAAAGATCTGTTTCAACGTACCACACGGCGGTTTACCGGTGTTCCCATGACACTGCCAATGAATAAGCCAACGAGAATAATAAGGTATCCGCAGATTGTACCCGTGATTATCATCGCAGTATGTGGATCTCCCCCATTGTAGGAGTTGTAATGCAATCCGATAAGAATGCATACCAAGAGCTGCAATTAAATAGATAGTTAACAAACAAAAATTTATTTCACGTATCAAAATTTCTCCTTCTTTCGATCTCATCGGATTCTTTTTCTTTCATTTTCGATCTTTATCATTCGCGTACAGAAATTTTATAACAGTAAAAGTTTTTAATGCCAAAGTGAAGGTACTGATATCCACGAAACTAGGTCAACCCGATGAGAGTACGTCAACTTTTTCTCTTTCTCTCTCTCTCTCTCTCTCTCTCTCTCTCTCTCTTTCAATTCCAGCATAAATAAAATATTACCCACTATTGCCCTAGTTGGCAAACAACTTGTATTTTCAGGCAACAGGTCGACTTATGAATATAATCGTTCGATAATGCTTTTCAAATTATTAACGCAAGTATAAACATAAGATCTACTTTGAGTGCATCATCGATTGTCACAAGCAAAATACATGCAATGATGGTTAAGATATAAAATCGGTCAATTTTCAAAAATTGTTCTTAGATTTTTCTCTCAAGAAAGAATCTAATTCTCATCTAAACAAAATGTTAGCAAAATGTTGGCTATTTGACAGAAAATTTAATGAAATGTTGTTGATTAAATTTGATGAAATTTGTTGTCAATATCGATAATATTTTGTTCTTACTGAGTACATAATACTAATACATAGAGAGAATTAAATAATAATATAAAATTTTTCTCACTAATAGTCATTCAATAATAATCAACTGATAAATAGAGAATAATATAGGCGCTTGATTTCACTATTAATTAATTCTCATCTTGAAGATATTCGTTGCTTCAATGCTCCGCTATATTCAATGTTAAAATGAAACTGGTTAGCCTTGACGTGGTGAATATACGCATGATGCTAAGTACAATGTATCTTAAAGAATCCCGGGCTGGGTCACCCACGTGTACCTCGATAAGCACGCGATACGTCGCATTTACCACAGTCAGATCGATCTGCCGCTAAGGAGTGCCGCTGCGTTAGCGGTATAAATATATACTCTGAGCTCTCTCGCATCATTTGAAGAAAGCTCCGCTACAAATTCTTATTCATACGTTTTGATCAGTATCAATTTAGAGTTTAAGCTTGTATCTACATAGTTGAATTACAATGTTATTTAATTTATCATTCAAAATATAATTATAAAAAAATATATCTTGATTTATTAAACAATCGCTTTTATAAAGACAACTTTACTTTTGTATAACTCGCCAGAAAACAAATTAAAATTCTTCTCTCTCATTCAGCACATTAAGAAACTTTACGTGCTAAGTGATATTAAACAAAGGAAAGAAAGAATGCAGATATCAAACACAGGAAGGAACTAAAATTATATTTAGAAAATACCAGACGCAAACGAAATATGCGCAATCGTGATGCTGAGGGCCGGCGTTAATTTCTAAATAAAGCTAGATAAATGTTCATCAAAATAAACATGACGCTAAGAGATAGATGTTTTCAAAGTTTGGCTGTTTTATGTTATAAATAACATGTTTTTGATAACATGTTTTATCAATTGATAAGTTCACACATTTACTATTTTGCAAATATTTAAAATGCAAATATTTAAATGTGTTGTAAAAATTACATTAATATACTGTCAATAAATATTCTTAAGTATACAACAAAATATACGATGCATTTCGATGACATTATCCAGATTTAATACGAAGTAAAAATTTTATATTGTTTAAAAACACAACTGGGAGCTGCTTATACACAAAGGGCGCGAACTTCTCACAGTGTAATCCTAACGGAAACCCTCATACCGGTTCACTTCCGGCCGACTTCGAGTGAACTATAATAAGAGAAGAGAACGCTCTTGTGCGTTAATCAGTGCCGGTTATGTCATTCTCCATTTTCGTCGCCTTACGAATCACAAAAGATATGCAATGCAGAATGCCAACAATACGTCTTTGACGTATGTTGATTTCCTTGATCTCGGAAAAGCGCGATCCAGCTCGTGATGGACGCGAACTACTCAAAATCAGGCCGATCGATCGGAAGAAAAGCGGCGTAACGCAGTTAAAAATAAATTCGAGAGCATGATGGACCTTCTTAGAGAAGTGTCGGACGACCTCGAGGATAATGTTTCTCTTGCGGCTGGAAATACGCATGAAAGAAACACTGACAGATTTATGCAATTCAGCCCTCGTACTTTCTCAAGGCTATTTTGATTTTTAATTTAAAACGCTAAGAAAAAAGCAGTCCTCTTTAAAATAACTTTTTTTTTTCTATTTATAATAGTTTGTAAATGATAAGTTTCTGGTTGTGCTAATTAATATTTTGTAATATAACATCGTAGCTTTACAACGTTGATAATTTCTTCTTTATGATGCCATAGCATTGGGATGATTTATATTCATATAATTTATATTATGATTCATTATCTGAATAATTACATATGTCATTTGAATGAATCATAATTTATGCGTATTAATAATCTGCATTTTACACGAAGATATAAAATAATGTACTATGTTCGAATTAAACATGATTCAATGATATCACAGTTACTAACTAAAAAACACTAATAATTATTTAAATTTATGAATATACTTACAAGCTCAAGGAATTTTACGATTGAGAGCCTTGTAATGGTAGCCATTTCGTTTAATCTGTAAGAAAAAAATCAGTGTATAAATGATTTATTCATTAAAATAAATACAAAATAAAAAATTCTATTTACACGAAGTTATACAATAGATTATGATTACGTGTCCATTGGTAGGAGACTCGCTGTTCAAATGCAAATATAACGACTACAAGAGTACAGAATGTAAGTCGCATAAAAATAAAATAAACTGCAAAGTAGAATAGAGATATAGTAATCGATATAGTATAGTTGTACTAGAGTCGTATGTAAAGAAAATTGGAAACGCAGGATGTTATTAATATGAGATGTGCTACTTTGTACGCAAAGACATGAACATATTGCAAAACAATCACGTACCGTTCAATGAGATTAATGTGTAAATTGCAGCAAAATTAGTATAATAAATTCACAATTAGATATAAAATTTAAATACAAGAATTAAATTAATGAATTAATTTTTTCTAAAGACCTCTTTTAATGAGCTTTTTGATCGAAAATTTTCGCCAGACATTTAAGTAAATATAGAATTTTCCAAGAATATTTCTTTATGTTATGAAAGATTTTTTATATAAAGAAATCGTTATCAATAAAATAAACCTCTCACATGAATACTCAATCAAACACTGTTACATGTGATTCACGCGTACTGATATGTTTGATAAACTTTAAAAAAATACGATTAGATTTTGCAGCTGTGCATAGATAACACTAAGGAGCGTAAATTCCTTCTCTTATTTTATATTAAACAGAAATGGGCAGACGAATAGTGCAATCTGCTTATTTTTTAAATCGTAATTTAATTTCAATTTTATTGTAAAAATTACCATTTATATTATTTTTATATATTACTACTAACAATTTCATATTATAGCCAAGTTAAAATTCTTCTTCTTCGCCGAAATCAAATTTGTGTTTTTATTTTATGAAATATTAAAAGATAGAATGACCTTAATATATCATTGCAACATATATTGGTCTTTTTAATAGTTGCGAGTCTAAATCTAACTCTTTGATCATTTCCACGAATTTTCAACTCTAACATTTTATGTGCGTACTTATAAAATTCAATGTTATCTTTAGATGAAAAATTTTATTTGTGATTCAATATAAGAGTGACAAAAATATTTACCCGCAAAAAGTATTATTAGAATCATATTAAAACGCAATATAGGACATACAAAACTTTCGTATCGCAGTCATCGAATCGGAGCATTGTAATAACAACTATGCTATATTTAGATATACATATCGAATGACTTAAGGCACGTGTTACTCATGAAATTTAAACCTACACAAATTTTTCTCGGAAAAGATAAAGAATAAAAAAATTTCTTAGAAAATAATTCATATTATCAAGTTATAATAATTATAATTTGGGATGTAAAGCCAGCTCGTCTGGCGGATGCCAATCTCTCTTGCTCGTAGTGCACCCTGCATAATCTAACAAGACTCTGGCAAGGATGGTTGATATAATCTCAATATTTTGAATAGAGGAAATGTTATCCATTCTAACCCTTACAAAAAAGTTGGGCATAAGGCTAACACTTCTAACCGGGAAAAACACATTTGAGAAAACTAATAGCCTCGGATGAATACGAATAGAAAAACTCGAAGATTTAAAGAAAATGAATAGAAGAATATTCTACACAATAGGAAATCGTGGCATGAATTATGTGAGCACATCAAAATCCTGCCAGGATTGCAGAGCAAATAAAAGATAAATAAAAAATAATTATAATTTTATGTCTCCGTCAAATTATGCAAAATTCTCGATTCATAACAACACGACATTAAATGAGTATGGATGAAAAAATAGCTATGATATCGTCAGTTGCATAGGCAAATAATACGTGCTTAATTGCATACGTGTACTAGCATAAGTCAAACTTTACGTCATCCTTCATTGGATGACTTGAGCAGGTCGGCATGTATGACGACCATGACATACCCAAGATGGATAAAATGCAACGAAACTGGTAGAAATAGCGCGATATGTGTCCTGCATATAAATATATCACCATTGAGCAAGAACGCTCATTTATCAGTATGTCAAGAGGTGAATTTGTTAATTGCGCCAACTTCAGTCATTAAAGTGATATTTAAATAGGCCGGCCGGCTTTCTAATTAACAAACACGTAATCTTAGCAGAAAACAACATGAGTTATCACATACGGAAAAAGAGTATCGGATATAATTACTTTCAAAATTATTAATTTTGATTTTTGCCTGTACACAATTGATAACAAGACATTAAATTACAATTATTATGACTTAATACAATTATATCATGAATATTTATTATTTTTGGCAAAAGTTTGCGGAATTTGAACCTCTGTCAATAACGCGTATCTCAAGTCACCTAATCTAAATATATATCAAATGTAAGTCTAGATATAATACAGTTGTATTTAATTTGTTTTCGTTTTCCAATCTTATTAATATGTATGAGAAACTAACATAAAATATAGGTAATCGAGTGCGTACATGCATATATCTAAAATGCATATATCATAAATTTACTGAGTCATCGAAATATATAGAAATATAAAAATTTTTTAAAAATAAATTTTAAAGTAACAAAAATAATATTTATAAGATTAATATAGTTTTATCGATCTGGACGATGTGGTGTCATTAAAGATGAAAATGAGAATCGTTCAGGTTGTTTATCCTCCGTGACATGTAATTACGTCGAAAATCTGATATGGAGTCTCGTTATTATACTCAATAACCCACAGTTTTCAATGTGTGTGCGACGTAAATTAAGCGTCGAAGCGTAAATCGCGGTCATATATCGCATAAGATTGAGAACGCATTTTTTACTCCAAAAAAGAAGATACTTTCACGTTACTTGGCACTGCCTTGACTTAGTTTTTACAATCTCTATCGGTATCTTTTCCTTTTAAATGAAACTGTGCTTTTCGACAATACATTGAAACAAATCACGAGTGCAAATAATTGAAAAATTTTTTATAAAATTTTCTTATAAACAATATACAACATAAATATATAAAACAACATAATACAACATAAATATATAAATATATAAAACATAAAAATTGTGTTTTTTATATTGTCGTATTAGTTTTAAATATTTTTTGCCTTTTATATTTCTGAATATCACTGATAATTATTTTGCAGTAATTAATAAGTTTGCAAAATTAAAAAACATAATTACATAAAAGATATTTTATCGCGATATGGTGTTATTTATATCCTTCCATTTTTATCTTTTATAAAATTTTCTTATTCTATAATATTGATTAAAACATATTGCGCGCTACATATGAATACACGACTATCTTAAGTTCAACTACTTTTTTTCATGAACTGCGTTGCATAAAACGATAAAAAAAAGTTGTTCCGGTATGAAATTACGCGTCACCGCAGATTAAAATCTGATTTCGTTCAAATAAAATATTAATTCTTTTACAGCATCTATTCCGTTCGAAATATTTTCTAAAAATAAATTCTGCATTTTTACAATTAATAAATTAAATTTTGCATAAATATATTATAACTTTCAAATTTTTATTTAATACAGCGTTTTCGTTTGTTACACTAATATCTTGCTCTAACCAGCCAAGGTTGGTCAGTCCATAAACTAGCACACAAAAGAATAGTACGAACAAAGAACCCCGAGTATTGGCGTCGAAAGAGAGCCTTAAGCCTTGTTAAGTAAACGTTACCGTAAAATTTCCCATTTTTAAAATACGAGAAAGAAAATTTCGGAAGCTAAGGTTCATTCATACATCAGGCGTGAGTTTGGCGTCGTATAATCGTAGAGAGTACTTACGTGTCCGCGTTTTTTATTCACCGTACAGTCGTAGCTGCTCACGAGACGAGAGTTCAACGGTGACTGATGCTGAAGACCGACCACGCATTGTGGAGGCGCGTCAGCCCCAGCCTCGATTTTTACGTTCGACGGAAACACCATAGTATGTTCACGCATCGGGCGGGTACAGACGCTACGGTCCAGTGGCGCTCATTTTAGCTTTAGATTAGCTTGACGAATGTTGCCATAAATAAACGTTTTATCATGATTTTTAATGAGGAACAAGAATAAAATAACGAGATTGTCCGACTAACACATACGTGATAATAGAGCTTAGAAGATTAGAAGTATACTAATGAAAAAAATTGTAACGCAATATTTAAGAATTTAATTAGGAATCTATTTTTATAAACGCTATTTAAAGTACAATTGATTTTTATTCAGATTCATAGGAATACTCTCAAGAAAAATTAATAAAAGAATACATAATTTGGTTTGGGAAATATTTAAACATTATTTATTTTAAAAACTTGAATAAATAAATAATCTGCTGTGCATGCATGCTGTATATTTTCAGGAAATTATTTGTTTGTTGAAAAACTTTTCTATGCCACATTGAATTGTACTATAAAATACTGTATATTCCATTAATTCAAACATTTATGATGTTAAAATAAATGTTTTAAAGACATCTTTTTTTAAATAGCATTTTATCTAACTTTACCTAAAGTTCTCTCATTTTGATAATTAAAATGTTTTTGATTCGGTCACAAAAATTATATTTGTTTAATCAACTTTGCTGCATATTTTAAGACAGTTTTATCATTTCTGTAAATAGCTATAAAATCATTAATTAATCTGGAAATTATGATATATTAATATCTAGTCGACTGTCCACGTTTAAATTGGCCATTTATCTTCTTGTTTTATCGCGAAGATTCCATTTATTGTTAGTAATTACGCTTCGTTCTTTCGCAATGGTGTAAGTAGGGAGTATCATCCGTAAGATAAAAGAGATAAAACTGAATCCATGAATCAGATCGTGTTTCAAGAATTACGTCAATTCTGCCTTGTGCGTGACATCATGTTGTTCGTATAATACGATGACGTCACATATCGTAGCGATCCAAACAATATGACATGTCAAACTGAACTCGGAGTTCTATAATGACCAATAAGCAACTTCCGTTATATAATAGGGGGAAGCTGAATATTTTTATTCCAACTTTTTTTGGCTAAACTCATCAAGATATTAAATATTTTAGCATCGAATATTTAAACAGCGGATTAAAAGTTTTATAACAATAAAAACCGCTCAAATTGAAGTGAGCAGCAATACTTCCTTATTTAACTGCATTCTAAAAGTTTAATTTATCTTCTGGGAATGCTGAATAGAGAGAGATTTTTAATCTCTTATACTTCTAAGACAATTAATGATGCTTTAATCGGGCAAAAATAAATTTAGAATTTTATGCTCGATATACCAAAATATTATACTGCATTCTTTAATACACATTGCCCACATATGCAGGATAGATCGTATAGCAGTAGCTTTGAAATATCCCATATATACTTGTGCCTATTAGAACCTTCCTCGCTCACATCTGTCGGACTCGCTTGCTCGTGTTACATTTTCACCGTCTTTATTTCCGCCGCTGCTCTTCGACCCGTATTTACCACATGTGTGCATACTACCAGCAAATTGCCCATGACCGTACGCATTCGTATGCATTAGCCTCCTTTCGCCGGTTACTTACGATACAACACGCGTTTTCGCAGGATTCACGCGAATTTGACACGCCTACCGTAGATTTTACTTAATAATCCACCGCTTCAAATTCTTTCATAAAATTTCTATGTGGCTTACAAACATCTCGTTTAAATCTAATCTTAAATAATTATTTTAGATTATTAATAGAATGTAGTTATAATCAGATATTCTGCTTGTGCAGAAATAGATTGTTCCTTGTGTAGAGAAACAAATTTTGAAGTATCAACAGAATTGTGACGAGAATCTAAATGCGCTTAAGCGTACGCATGTTAATGATATATGACGTGTGATTAAGCTGACAGTATGAAGTATCAAATTTCTTAAGAAGATTATATCATCAGAAAAATCTGATTGAATGCGTCATTCTATAGCGACGTAACTTACACATACACATACAGGCACACATTGCTGCCATTGATTATTACTTAAATATTATAAATTGATATCTAAATAAAATCGTTATCGTAGTTTCATAGTTTAGAAAATAACCACATTGTTTATTCAACAAATTGCAAAAATATTGCATTTAAATGGTATATAAAAAAAATTTGACCGACATAAACATTGTTATTAATAAAACAAATCACGCAAGCAGATTTCAAGACTTGATAACAATATTTTATTATTAGAAATATTGTGCACTATGAAGAAAATACATTTGTTTTATAAATAATTACGACTCGTTACAAATTAACTGTTTTATTCGCAGAGCTGAAGCGGTTTACTGACTGACATTTAAGCGTTTCACAAGATGTCGCGATGGATCCCAGTTCAGAGATTTTACGGAACAGCAGTAACAGCGATGTACCGGCAATCGTTATCCTTAATTTATTCAATTAATTGTTTTTACAATTACAAATCTTATTCTTTCCAAATATTACATAATGTGAACAACTTGAAACTCGTGTTTTGGTTTACTTTTCATCTTCATTTTAATATAATTATACCAATCAACGAAACAGCAATAAATAATTGGTTCGTCCTCCAAATCCTATAAAGATAAAATAACTGCAAATTATTTCTACAAAAACTTTCAAACTTCAAACTTTTTGAACTATTTTTTTTTAAAGACTTTTGCCTCTTCATATGTTATGGTTTTTTAATTTATAAGGATTATCCATATTCTTAGAAAATATTTAGGAACGATTCTGCTGATTATTCGATAACCTTAGAACTGAAACGATAAATGTTATATTCCATGGACAGAAAATAAGATACTTGCTTCACATCTAAACGCAAAATGCTCTTGTGCTTGTATTATATTTATTATAGGATGACATGATCTATTTCAAGTTCCAAGATATCGATAAATCGTCACTCTTACAACATTATCGGCGATCATAACGGGGGTAGATAAATCTTGCAAAGTGGGAATCGGTGCCAACTCTCCAACCTGCGCTTCGGACTCATCTATTTTTTGTCCAGTTATAGAAGTATCAGTTACGTCAGAACTTACGCTAGAGTCGGAACTTTGCGTGTCTGCCGATGTACTTGTGCCTTGTTGCCTTCGAACCTAGTCGCGATCGTAAACAGTTACGTTATTTCATATTTATCGAATTAAATGATGCAAAGTTAACAAGATATTACGTTAAATAAATTATTAAAGCCGTAATTAATCAATCATTTTTAATTTCTTAAAGTATTGAGGATTATTATTCTCCTATGAAATGTCACATATATAACGAAAACATATTACTAAGTCAGGCAAGACTGGTAATGTTAAAATAAAAAATTATTGTACAGTGTATTTAATATTGAATAATTGTTTTCTGTTTAAACGCACCCATTGCCATTCATCGACGAGAACCCACGTTTGAATCAAATACATAGTCATAACGAAGAGTGATAATATGCACATCACAAAATTATGAATGAAAATGGGATGATCAAGTATTTCTTCGTCAGTAAATAAAGTAACGTCAATATATATATCAGCTTGTTTCATCTCCGTTATTCCTGCCACAAGCATCAGAATAGCTGCTATCGTGCATGCTGCGAGAGGCTTGTAAATTTATTTTCAACGCATAATTATTTGGTGTAGATATGTTTAATTCTCGAATAATATTTTATTCGCTAAATTGAGACGTTAACTAAGAAAAGTCACAAATATTTATCCTTTTACCAGAGATACAATAAAATTATCTAACCTTTTGAAAACAATTGTGACAAAAATTATTATATCTGTTGCAAATGAAAGTAAATGTTAAGCACAAATTTTAGGTTTGACAATTTAATATTATATTTTAGATTGCAATTATATTAAATAAATATCTAGATCTCAAACTTGCATCTAAATTATGTGAAACGAAACACCGTGGAGAATAATTAAGTGTATTGTATTCTTCGTTAGCACGTCTTTGTAAACAGGCTTGGAAAAGGACTCACTATCATAGGTCTGCCGGGTAGTATCTTTTTAACAAACCAAAGGACGGCAAGAACAATGCTCACCAGCATGCAAATAGGATACATAAAGAAAATGGGATTTCTTTCCTCCGGCAATAACGGAATCGTCCAGTCTTCTTCGTGCGCGAGTTGATTCATATAGTAATGCACGTGATGAAAAAGTTCAATGCACGATATCATTATCTAGAAATATCTCCGATAACATTATTTAATAACAAAAATATCGACAATGATAAAAATAAATTTAAGACAAAAAAATCTCAATGATCAAGTTAGAAGTAAAATACATTACGGCAAAATATAAGAACAGAAAAAATGTTGCAAGCGATTTCTCACAAGAACTCGGAGATATGCGCTCTAACGTGAATTGTGTCATCAACGTTCTTTTAGCAGGTTTCCTCTGATTGTGACAAAATTGTCAGCTGAAATAGAACGCGCGTAATTGAACACCGGTCGCGGGTAATCGAACCGAGAAGTCGCTGGTTCTCTTTTTTTTTTAAACGATTAAGATTCGCACGAAGCGTACGCGCTGACACGCATATTTATATACGTAAATGCGTGTATCCTCTTGTCGTATCCGATTACATAATAAAAATATCGATGTCACGATTATCGTTACTGAATCACGACGCAACGACGAAGAATCCGAACCGAAAAAAACTGGGTCACACTCAACTGCATTGTTTAATATAAAGTTATGTTTATCTCGCATGGAATATGGCACGTAAAGATAACGATGCTATCTTGAGGTGTTATGTATCGTATTTTTCATCACACGAGAAAACTAGATCATCAAATGATTTTATTTCTCTCATGCATTCGGATTTCGTGTGAAAAAATATCTTGTACATATTTACTTCGTTTACATTTCGATCGCAGAGCCACAGATTCAATTATTTATCATTTCTACAATGCAATGTGCACACACAAATATACTTAATATAAATT